TGGCAGCCCTCGGGTAAAGAGGCACCTCTCACCACTCCTTGGTTAAAGAGTGCGTAACAGCGAGCACTTTTCCTTTCCTTGAGAATAGGAGGTGAAGCAGTAGACTGCAGCTCCCCCGATGGTTATGTTGCGAAGAAGACTGACCTCTTCCTGTTGTGTTTGCTTGGAATGCTGACTGCATCAGGAAACTGAACTGAACATCTGCTTTGTCAGAAAATATCTTTTACTTTACTTTGAAGTTTGGCAATCTTCATGTTACCTTAAAGCAAACCCATTGTGTCAGGATTCAAACAAACGTTTAGAAAGCAAACATGACGTCTCTATTGTACAACCTCCTTTCTGTTGGTTATTTAAAGGATGTACTTCCACATTTGCTACAGTAAAATCCTGTTACAAAAACTACCCTATAAATAATTATTTTCTATAGTTAAAGCATTTTCTCAATCCTAACCATTGGTCTATAGAGGTCTCCTTTTTCTGGTTTGGGATATAATGGATCTCAAATATGGATTACTTTGATTTCTGTCTCCTTAAACACCTTGTTAACAATATCTTTTAAGTTGAGGGCTGTTTACATTGTGGGCCAGACTATCAGCCAGGTCTGGACTCAATTATAATTATTATTTGTCATGCACCTCTTTTCACCTCAACCGAACTCTGTACAACCTCTGAACTCTCAAATTACACAGTAAATTCACAAAAAAACCCAGGAATTTGGAAGAAGAAAGAGTTGTCTATGGAGGAGAGTTAAAGAAGGGCTTCTCGGCAAGGTCTGGTGGCTCATGCCTGTAATCAATCCCAACACTGGGAGGCCGAGGCAGGCAGATCACCTCAGGTCAGGAGTTTGACACCAGCCTGGCTAACATGGTGAAACCCCGATTCTACTAGAAATACAAAAAAATAGGGCATGGTGGCATGCGCCTGTAATCCCCGCTACTTGGGAGGCTGAAGCAGGAGAATTGCTTAAACCCTAGGAGGTGGAGGTTGTGGTGAGCTGAGATGGCGCCATTGTACTGCAGCTTGGGCAACAAAAGTAAAACTCCATCTCAGACCAAAAAAAAAAAAAACATTTCTTTGCTCTTTTCCTTGAATGTTTAAAACCCTTTTCAGGCCGGGTATGATGGCTCACACCTATAATCCCAGCACTTTGGGAGGCCAAGGCGGGTGGATCACCCAATGTCAGGAGTTTGAGACCAACCTGGCCAACATGGCGAAACCCTGTTTCTACAAAAATTAGCCAGGCATGATGGTGGGTGGGTACCTGTAACCCCAGCTACTCAGGAGCCTGAGGCAGGAGAATTGCTTGAACCTGGGAGGCAGAGGTTGCAGTGAGTCAAGATCATGCCACTACACTCCAGCCTGGGTGACAGAGCAAGACTCCATCTCAAAAAATCCCTTTTCATTTGCCGTTGCAGAGGTTGAGAATGGCTTTGGTCAGCTCTATTCTGTAGACTATAAATGTGATTTATAGCCAAAACAACTGGTTGGTTTTGTTTCATTTTGAGACAGGGTCTTGCTCTGTCGCCCCGGCTGGAGTGCAGTAGTACAAACACAACCCACCACAGGCTTGACCTGTGCTCAAGTGATTCTCCTGCCTCATCCCCTCATCTTCCTGTGTAACTGGGATCACAGGAGGATGCCACCATGCCTGGCTAACTTTTTTGATTTTTTGTAGAGACAGTATTTCACTTTGTTGTCCAGGCTGGTCTCAAATTCCTGGGCTCATGCGATCCTTCTGCCTTGGCCTCCCAAAGTGCTGGGTTACAGGCATGAGCCACTGCGCCTGACCTAAACATACTGTTTTTAATCTGATTTCAGTTATAACCAAATAGTTGCATTTCCTATGTAGTTGTTAAGCTTCCAAATTCTCAGGTCTACACTGTGTTGGTTAACTTTATTATTTAAGTATTAATGAATTCTATTTCATAGATCTCCATGAAGAGGAATTTGTTTGCCTTCTTTGTAGTATGTGTAAAATAATGAGGAACACTGGTGTATTAGCATGCAATTTAGATATAATGGGCTAACAAAGATTTTTAGTTTCTCAGGTTTAAATTTTACTATTAGTTCCCTTTGACTTGTTTTTTGGTTGTTCCAAGAGGTAGCAGTTGAGTGAAAACATTTCATCTCAGCCTTTGACAGAACAAATACCTTGTGGAATATCCATTTCTTCACAGGAATTAAAACATCACTGTAAGAAAGTGGTTAAGAAGTACAAAGCCAGGAGTGGCATTTGTGAAAATGGCAAGATAAACATCATCACCATTTCATAGCACACTTAGTCCCTACCTAGACTGTGTGCTAAGCACATATAGATATTTAATACCCACAGTCTTTTGAGTTTACTACTCCCTTTTTACAGACAAAACTGAGGCTCCAAGAAACACTTGCTCAAGTTTACCCAGCCAGCAAGTGATGGAGCCTGAATTTGAACTGTCATCTGACCACTGGGGACGCTGTGAAGGTTTCACTGGTTCCCCACACTGGCCAGACAGAAGGACCTGTGCAGCCAGCATGGCCTGTTTCCTATGCGAAGTCTGAGCTTTTTAAGGACTCTCCACTTTGTATAATGCCCACCCACCTTTTTATTTTTTAAGAGATGGGATCTCAAACTCCTAGGCTCAAACAATTGTCCTTCCTCAGCCTCCTGAGTAGCTGAGACTACAGGTATGGGCCACTGTGCCCAGCTTTTATACTGCCTTCTTGACAAGTCACCATCTCTGAGCTCATGCCCAATGGAATTAAAGCAACTTCCCCATGTCTTCCCAAATGAATGAGGAGCCTATTGTTATCAACAAGATAGCGATTTGCATTTGTGGATACATGATCTTTCATCCTGTGGAACTGTGGCAACATCAGCATTGCAGCAGGTGTTAATATCCCAGACCTCTGAGCCCTAAAATGTCAGCAGTGCAATTCACCCCCTCCACGGAGTGCAAAAGATGCTCTCATGCATTTCCAGATACATTCCAGGAGGATGGGACTGTCCCAAGGCTAGAGCTACTGAATCTGAAAATAGGAGACACTATAACGTTCAGCCAGCCCTCCGTCTGTATCAGCGGGTTCCACATCAGGGATTCAACCAACCATGGGTCAGGAATATACTACTGAACATAGACAGACTTTTTTTCTTATTATCCCCTAAACAATACAGCATAGCCACTTTACATTAGCATTTACATCGTATTAGGTATTGTAAGTCATCAACAGATGAATTAAAGTATACAGGAGGGCGTGTGTGTAGGTTATATGCAAACACTACATCATTTTGTATCAGGGACTTGAGCATCCTCAGATTTAGTTATCTTTAGGAGGTCCTGGAACCATTTCCCCCTGAATATCAAGGGACGATTGTATATCCTCACCTATCAAAAAAAAAAAAAAACCGTCAAACTTACGTCTTGTCTTATTTGGGTGGTGTATGAACCACTCCAAGGATATAAGTTCTTTTTTGACTGAAAAGACTCCACTGCCTACTAGCCGGGTGACCTAGAACAAGGTAGCTAAACTCGTGGAGCCTCAGTTTCATCTAAAAATGGGAATTAAGCTTGCTGAGATTAATAATTAAGCTGGCTGAGATTGGTAGGCCCTAGTGCAGAGGCAAGTCTTCCTTCCTGGGCTTTCCTCAGCATCTCCTGTCCTGAGCTGCCCTCACCTGTCCACTTAGCTCAGAAAACATGGTAAGATCATGGCCTAACTTCCCTGCCACAAGTTTAAGGAGCAAAGCCGTGTAAAGAAATGAAGTCAGTGGGGAAAGGTGATGGAGTCCCAGCTTTAGTGTCATTATCTTTGATGGCGCAAATGGAGAGACAGTTGCTAGTCCCCTGATTAGGCAGTTTTCCAACTTTGTAATGGATAATTTTTCTTCATATTGGAGCTTAAACCCATTTGTTTTTTTCTAAATGTGAAATATATGTCTTGAATATTTTGGAGTATTTTGTACATTAAACCCCCTGAGGGGAATCTGACCTTATTTGGAGCAAATCAACCAACTCAAGTTCTGGCCTCTCAAAGCTTATTCCACATACAAAAAAAAAAAAAAACCCAAACTTCAAAAGTTATCCTTATATATTTATGATGGTATCTTTTTTGTGTGATGGTATCTTTTTTTTTTTTTTTTTTTAGTGCAGTGATGCTGCAACCTCAATCTCCTGGGTTCAAGGAATTCTCCTGCCTCAGCCTCCCCAGTAGCTGGGATTACAGGCGTGTGTGCCACAACGCCCAGGTAATTTTTTTGTATTTTTAGTAGAAATGGGGTTTCACCACGTTGGCCAGGCTGGTCTCGAACTTCTGACCTCAAATGATCTGCCCACCTTGGCCTCCCAAAGTGCTGGGATTACAGACCTGAGCCACCACACCCAGCCTGTGATGGTATCTTAACCACTTTAAAATTGTTTCAAGAGCCGTGAGCCACCAGCCAAGGTTAAAACTGGGGAAACAGAAATCAGGATTTTAGACACTGCAAGGTTGCAACTTATCAAACAACAGCATGAGCTGCCAAATTCTGTCTGATTGGTTCCTGGATTCTATCACGTAAAGTGAAAGCCAAGGTTCCCGCCCGCCCCCTACTCCACACCCCCCAACCTCCGCCTCCTATGGCTGGGATGGGAGCTAAGGGTTTGCCTCTGTCCAGGGTTTCTATTTTCTTGAGGCCAGAATTATGGAGCCTGGGGGAGGGGAGTCAGAGCTCTACCCTGTGTCCATTCTAATCAGGGCTTTTGTACCTGCCCGGAGGAAGAAAAGACCTAGTCCTCCAAATCCCAGACTTCCTCTAGTCCACTGATACGGCATCTTTCACCTTTAGATTTGTATACACCTAACACTCCATGAACTGTGTGCTGGCAAGAGGTGGTCTTCTAGAAGCAGCAGCTGAATCAGCACACCCCTTCTTGCTAGTAAGGGCCGTCTGCCACCCCTGGATAATCCTACTCTTCTCTTCCCTTAGTTCTGGCACTTAGTACCAGCCCAGCTAATGGTCATAGAATGAATAAGGGAATGAATGAATGAACGCAGCACAGTTTTACTGGAACTGGTGGCAAGACATCAAAAAAGAAAGTAAAAAGAAACAAACACATTTACCCACAGAATTGAAGCTCACTTCCCAATTTTTTTTTTTTTTTTGCAATCCATAGTAGGAAGAGGAACTCAAAAAAATACGCACTGAGTTTGAAGCGGCTCCAGTGGGAAACGCAACTTGCTATTTGGGCCAGTCAGGTTCCTGGACCCCATTGTACCACCCTTTGGCACAGCTTGCTGTGTAGCTCTGTGGTCAGAACTGCTTCTCTGCCCTTCCATGACGCCACACTCACACCCGGAGGTCGAGGTCGTTCCACATCTCCCAGTCCTTCAAGCTTTTAGTTAGTTGTTTTTTTTTTTAATTGTCCACAGAACCAAACACATGGCCTAACCAATCTCTGGATTGTAAAATAAACAACACTACAAAGGAAGGCAATACCAAATGAGGCTCCGCAGTCACCATGCCCAGCAGCTACTGAGAAAGGCTTGGTTTCTTGTCTGGGAACAGTGCTCACCCTATACCCCACAGGAACTGCTTGGTCCAAAAGATGGAGAAGATGAGCAGCAGAGTGACGCTGAGGATGACGGCCATCAGGTAGGCAAAGATCCGGAACTGCGGGTTGCGGAAACACTCCCTCAGGGAGTAGTGGCTGGGGATGGGGATGGGCGTAGGCACGGTGGCAGAGGCTGTGTCCGGGGGTGGCCCAGTCTGGCCCCCAGACTGGGGGCCAAGGTCCAGCGTGTAGACTCGAGGCTGGCGCAGGAAGTAGCGGCTCTTGGGCTGGTCCTTGAGGCAGAGCTGACGGCCTTCCAGGATGACATGGTGGGGCTCCAGGCGGAGCAGGGTGAGCATGGCAGTGTCTGTGGGCAAGTCAGTGACCGGCTGCCCTGAGGCCAGCACCGTGGGCTGGCGACAGAGCGGGCACAGCAGGCGGCGCCGGGCCGGGGTCACCAGGCTGAGGTGGGCCAGGCATTCCACGCAGAAGGAGTGGCAGCAATCCAGCATTTTGGGGGTATGGAACGTGTTGTTGAAGGGGTTCCAGCAGACAGGGCACTCAGCCTCGAGTTCCCGGCCCTGCTGCTCAGCCATCCTCAGCCACACACGGGGAGGCCTCGTGGGAGTCGTCCTGGCAGAAGGGGGAAAGGCACAAAAGAACAGCCATGAAACCCTATCCCTGTGCTTGGCCTGGAGCAAAGTGTTTTGTGGGTGTTGAAAGGTGTAATCACTCAGGTTTTACTTAGGTTCAAAAGCATTTTGTTCTTGATCACCAGAGTTGAATGCTCCTGCATTTTTTCCCTCTGTCAAGAAAGCCTGGGCCACCCCTACTAAGAGCCCCCAAGTGAGTCGGCATTGAAGGAAACAGCGCCCCGGGCTTCGGACTTTGGAGCTGAACACAAATGCTCCTTATGGTCAGTGTGTGTGCCCTGGCTGCCCTGAATCCAGGGAGCTGGGGGTAAGCTGCAGTCTGTGAATTTTGCTAGAGGAAAGAAATGTTTCCTTCCCTGCTACCTCAAATCCCTGACTAGCACAGAGATGGGTTTTGTGACTTCCCTGGTCTGTCCCTCCTATGGGGACAAATGCCAGGCCCTCTTTCCCTCCTCCCCTTGAGCTAGAGGGCCAACCCTCCAGAGTCTACTCACCCAATCCGTAGCCTGGCAAGGAGGCCCCTGGTAAAGCCTTTCTCCTCACCTGGAAGCCTTGCAGAAGCTCCCCTGCCCCAGTCCCCAGATTAGCCCTTCCAGAGCCTCTTCCCATCCTCTGCCTCCCCTGGCTCCTCCTCCCTCCCTTTGTGCTGGGAACCCTTCAGGGCACGCACCTGGGCTTCTGTGGCCTCCAGGATGGCAGGCAGACTACTCTGGAGGGCCTGAGGCTCCAGACACTTCCTCCCCTCAATAAGCAAAGCTTTGGGAGACTGCTTTCTTGCCACCAACCCAGGAACCTGTCTCCATGGCAGCACACACGCAGCACCTGGGGCTGCCAGGTGGCCCAGTGTGCAGCCTCTTGAGCACACCTGCCTGGAGCCAAGGCCCAAGAGCTTCCTGGGCGGCGTGGGGAGGGAGATGGGGGACCTGAGTTCCCCCCAGGCCATGGCAACTAATTTAACCTGGAAGCTAAGCACCCGCAAGATTGTAGGCAGTCCCTTCAAGACCTGGAATCCCTGGTCTGGAAAGGTAGGGTGGCGATTTCCTCTTTCTAGATGTGAAAAGGGTAAGTGAGCTTTCTGGGCTTCCTCTCTCTGGGGCCCTCCTGTCTCTTGGAAAGCGGCTAGAACCTCCTCCTTGCACAGAGGGGCTGCCTGCTCAGCACTTCAGTTGCTGTGAGTTACCTACTTCAGAGCTTAACAGCTCCGACTCTCAGATTCAGTCCAGTCACCTGCTGATCTTTTAATATGCCTAAGTAACTACAAGCAGTGCGTACAAACCTTGCTGCCATCTGCTTTGTTCTTAGCACACAGCCGATCAGCCTGCTGAGATCTTAGAGATGGCCATCCCTTCAACCTTAGGGAGTTCAAGGGGGGAGCTGGAGGGAGGCACACCCCGGCCTTGCTTCTCCACTTCAAACAGAAACACCTGGCTTTTCTCTGTTTCTCTTCGGGTCATTTGAATAATTTGAAGAGTTGAGCTGCTAAGGAAAAGAAAACGTTTAAAAACCAATTCTCTGGCCGGGAGCCGTGGCTCACGCCTATAATCCCAGCATTTAGGGAGGCCGAGGCAGGTGGATCACGAGGTCAAGAGATCGAGACCATCCTGGTCAACATGGTGAAACCCCGTCTCTACTAAAATACAAAAAATTAGCTGGTCATAGTGGCGCCCACCTGTAGTCCCAGCTACTCAGGAGGCTGAGGTAGGAGAATTGCTTGAACTCAGGAGGCGGAGGTTGCGGTGAGCCGAGATCGCGCCATTGCACTCCAGCCCGGGTAACAAGAGCAAAACTCCATTTCAAAACAAACAAACAATTCTCCATCTGAGCTACTTGCTTTGCAGATGAGAAACAAGAAGTGACTCACCCAAAGTCACCCAGCTAGTTAATGGTGACATGGAACCCATGTCTTCAGACTCACAGTCTTGGTAAAGACAGAAGGCTGCATCCATGCCGTCCGCCTACTCAGTGTGTGTTACTAGCTAGATAACAAGTGTTTCATGTTATCAGGAATCCCTCACAGCCAGGAGACTCACGGTAGAAATCCAGGAACTACGCAAGAGGGGATCTGGGGAAAGGGAGTCTCCCTGGAGCCCTGATATGACATCATCTACCCCGACTGAGTGGCTTCCTGGTTTTCTTCTAGACCTCTGACACTGCTCCAAACTGGGAAGGAGGAAATGAGATGTGGAGGGAGATGGAGCCCTAAGTGAAACAAGGGTAGTTTGCCAGGCTCTGCTCCAGGGCTTTATTCTACGGTCCATTCATCTACTCGATCATTACTGAGTGCTTACTCTAGCCCAGGTGCTGTGCAAGGTATTATTGAGTATCATGGTGAACAAAATAGACATTGTCTTTTATCTCATGACATTTAGAGTGTAGTGAGGCAAAGAGACATTTAATGAATAATGGGCGATAAATAAATACACGGTTTTTTTTTTTTTTTTTTTTTTGAGATGGAGTCTCACTCTGTCTTCCAGGCTGCAGTGATCTCAATTCATTGTAACCTCTGCTTCCCGGGTTCAAGCAATTCTCCTGCCTCAGCCTCCCAAGTAGCTAGGACTACAGGCGCCCGCCACCATGTCCGGCTAATTTTTTGTGGTTTTAATAGAGATGGGCTTTCACCAAATACATGGTTTTAATGGTTGTTAATAAAGGGCAGAAAGGAAAATGGGCTTGAGGTGTTTGGTGGCTGCTCCCGATGAGACGACCAGGGAAGGTTTCTGCAAAGAGGTGACAGAAGAGCTGAGACCAAAGTATAAAAGAATCTAGCCATGCAGAGTGGAGGAAGAGCATTGCAGGCCTGGGGAACAGCAGGTGTGGCCCCTTGGTGAGAAAAGCTCCACCAATTTGAGAAAGTGAAAGGAGACCAGGTGATCAAAGTGTGGTGGCTGGAGCCGGGGTAGGCAAGATGGGGAGGGGTAGGATGCGGGACCTGTGAGCTCAGGAGCTCATCTGGATTTTATTCCAGGGGTGAGCAGTAGGGTAAGGTACCTGATCCTATTTCCATTTTTTTTTTGAGAGGGAGTCTTGCTCTGTCACCTAGGCTGGAATGCAATGGCACAATCTCGGCTCACTGCAACCTCCACCTCCCAGGTTCAAGCAATTCTCCTGCCTCAGCCTCCTGAATAGCGGGGATTACAGGTGCCCACCACCACACTGGGCTAATTTTTGTATTTTTAGTAGAGATGAGGTTTCACCATGTTGGTCAGGCTGGTCTCAAACTCCTGACCTCGTGATCTACCCACCTCAGCCTCCCACAGTGCTGGGATTACAGGTGTGAGCCACTGCGCCTGGCCCCTATTTCCATTTTTAAAACACCATTCTAGCTACAGAGCAGAGGACAGACTGAGAGGACAAGCGTGGGAAGGGAAGACCCACTTGGGCTCTGTCGGATGTGCGATGGTGGTGCTGGTGCAGGTCAGGTGGTAGTGGAGAAGATAAAAGGGGATCAGGTAAGTGATATCTTTGGGAACAGAACCAAAGCCACTTCCCAAGAAGCAGTGGAGTTCTTAGGATCGAGACTGTAGTTTCTGGAACACGATTGTCAAGGTTCATGAGAACAGATCCATGGCTTTTTTAGGGCTGTGATTCCAGTTGAATTGCTTGACTTCTCTGTGCCTCTATTTTTTCCATATGAAAAGGAAGCCAAAACTAGTAAAGCTTTTAGTTAGAGCCCAGCACCCAGTAAAGACTACAAAGTGATGAACTGGCTGGGCACAGTGGCTCATGCCTGTAATCCCAGCACTTTGGGAGGCTGAGGCAGGTGCGTCACCCAAGGTTGGGAGTTTGAGACCAGCCTGGGCAACATGGAGAAACCCCGTCTCTACTAAAAATACAAAAAATTAGCTGGGCATGCTGGCGGGTGCCTGTAACCCCAGCTACTCGGGAGGCTGAGGCAGGAGAATGACTTGAACCTGGGAGGTGCCGTTTCACCCCAGCCTGGGCAACAAGAGCAAAACTCCACCTCAAAAAAAAAAAAAAAAAGCCAACAATGCATCACCTAACAATGGGAATATGTTCAGAGAAATGCATCATTGTATTAATATCACAGAGCATATTTACACAAACCTAGATGGTAGCATCTACCTAGGCAGTATGGTCTAGCCTATTGCCCCTACGCTACAAACCCATACAGCATATTGTGTTCTGAATACTGTAGGCAATTGTAACACAATGGAAAGTATTTGTGTATTTCAACATAAACTTAGAAGAGGCACAGTAAATATATGGTATTATGATCTTATGTGGCCACCATCATATATGTAGTCTGTTGTTGACCAAAACATTGTTATGGATATGAGGCAGCTGGAATTATTAATGTAAATAGATTTGAGAGAGAGGAAGGGTCAAGGTTGACTTCAAAGCCATGACAAAATTTTCTGCATCAAGTTTTGAGGAGCCCCTGAATTCCAGAGTGTGGCAGAAACAGACCTTTAATACTTATCGGAAGCCTTAAACTATATGTAGCCCCAACTCATCAATTCCCTCACTGGGAATGGATTCCATGGAAATCATCAAGGACTTCTGCAAAGACGTGATTACAGAGAATCCCATCGAGGCCCTGATTTAACAGTGACCTACAGAGAACTACTTCATCATCCAGTAATAGGACATTGATTAGGTAGATTCTGCTCCATCCATAGAAAGCGACATTATGCACCCTTTAAAATGATGTGATAAAACTATTAATATGGATATATGCCTCGGATATAATGTCATCAGGCAAAAAGAACCAGCAACAAAACCATATTACAATATAATCCAATTTTCAAAACCGTGTGCACCATAGGAAAACATGTCTGGAAACATAAACAACTAAATATTAGCAGTGGTTACCTCTGGGGCAAGATTAAACGTTGGTTTTTTATTTTTAATTTTACCTGAAAATTCTAGCTTTACTCCGGTAAGCTTGTATTACTACAAGTAAAGATCTCCTGTTTCCCCCCACATCAGATCTACATTCTCTGAAGTTCCACAGCCAGAGCTGTAAAGGGCTGTCCAAGAGGAGGAAGGATCATTATTCCCTGGGCCTTTATCTGTGCTGCTCCCCCAGGGATCATCTGTTGTTTCAGGATCAGCTGGGGAGAGGCTCTGGCCATGCACCAACCCCACCCCACGTCAGGACATCTCAGCTACAGTAAATCCTAAACACTGCCCCAAAGTCATCTCCCTGGTCTAAGAACAAGTCATCACCAAATATCAATTGTCCCTAGCGTCACTCCAATGTTTTCAGCCAAGAACTGGCATTTTCATAGCACTTCATAGTTTAGCCCTTGCTAAAATCTAAGCATGATGATCCATTTGATAGGTTACTTGCCTTTTAGGATTTTTTTTGTTGTGTTTGCAGAAGGCCGTTTGATACTCTAAAACCACCCTGTGAGAGAGGCTGAGTGGGGAGTCAAAAGCATGCCGGCTTTGGAACCAGATTTGGAACGATTTGTCTTGGACAAATGGCTTAACCTCTCTGAACTTCATTTTCCTCTGTAAAAAAGGCTAATAATCCCACTCCTCCAGAGTTGCTCTGTGGAAGGAAGAGTCTATAAGGTGCCCAGTAGAATACAGAAGGTGCTCAATACAGACCTAGCATGATTATTTTTAGATCCATTTTCTAGATGGGGAAGTCAAGGCTCAGAAGGGTGAGGCGACTTGCCAAAGGCTTCCCAGCTAAAGAGCAGCTGAGATGAAAGATGAACCCAGGAGCCCTCCGTCCCAGGCCAGAGTTTACCTGCTGCGCACTTCTTTCTCTCAGGACTCTGGGGCCTGGGTGACCCGTCCCTCTGCGACCCTCTCTGGCTCCTTACCTGCTCCCTCAGAGCCGAAGCCTCCTCCACCCGTCCCTGCAGCCCTGCACACATGAGCTTTGTTTTCTGAATTCCCAGGCCCGATTTCCAGGCAGCATGGGTGGGTCTCATTTGCATAGGTCCTAGCAGGCTTGGCCAGCTCTGGCTGTTTCAGGTTTTCTTCTTCCTTCTGGTGACTTTGGACTCCCTGCACACCCTGGAGGCTTTGCTTGCTTTGTCTTCCTCCTGTGAGTCACTCTGGCTTTTGCTCCGAGGGGGTTGAAGTGCACTCATCCTTGCAGGCCTCTGTTCTGGATGGGTTGATCTCCTGCCATCCCCTCCGGTTCCACTTGCCCTCTGTGGCTGACCCGCCTCAACTCCTGGCTTCTGCCCAGATGGATCCTTCTTCCTGCTGAGCCCCTGCAACCAAAATACAAACGGCTCTAACAACAGTGGCCATTAATACAGCAGAAAAAATAGTCGGAGAGAGGCAGTTGAGCATCTACCCGAAGAGCCAGTGTTCTCAAGCCAGGCATACTTCTAGGTCAGAATTCAGTACTCACTGAGAGTCCAAACTCCACTTAACTAGCGATGGAGACTTGAGAAAATCAGTTAACTTCTGCCAGCCTCAGTTTCCTCACCTGAAAACGGCCATAATCACCTACCTACTCAATCTGCAGATTAACAAGGTGATCGGGGTCATATAATAACACAGTGCCTGGCACACAGTAATACAGTAAATGTTAACCAGAACAATTATTGTTATATGACCAGTCTGTTCACATGGCCCATCTTTTGTTCCCACTCAAATTCTGTTTGTACCTATGGTCCTCTTCTTTTCTCTCTTCTCTTCTCCTCTCTTCTCTCTCTATCTCTCTTTCTTTGACATGGTCTTGCTCTGTTACCAAGGCTGGAATACAGTGGAGTGATACTGATACACTGCAACCTCCACCTCCAGAGTTCTAGCGATTCTCCTGCCTCAGCCTCTGGAGTAGCTGGGACTACAGGCACCCAACACCATGCTCGGCTAATTTTTATATTTTTAGTAGAGACGGGGTTTCACCATGTTGGCCAGAATGGTCTCGAACTCCTGACCTTAGGTGATCTGCCCACCTTGACCTCCCAGAAGTGCTGGGATTACAGGCGTGAGCCACCATGTCTGGTCCCTTATTTCTTTACTGACATATTCAGTAGTGCTTGAGAAATAAATAAGTAAATAAACGTATCTGCTTGGTGATGTAATCAAAAGCCCCAGTTTCCTCATTTTGTGTTTTTTTACATTAATTTTTATGTATTTATTTATTTTGAGACAGTCTCACTCTGTCATCCAGGCTGGAGTGCAGTGGCATGATCACAGCTCACTGCAGCCTCAACCTCCTGGGCTTAAGCAATTCTCCCACCTCTGCCTCCTGAGTACCTGAGACTACAGGTGCATGCCACTGTGGCTGGCTAATTTTTGTATTTCTTGTAGAGATGGGGTTTCTCCACATTGCCTAGGCTGGTCTCAAAACTCCTGGGCTCCAGCAATCCACCTACCAAAAGTGCTAGGATTACACTTGAGTCACCATGTCCAAATTTGATTTTTAAATAGGTTATATATTTACATGGTTGAGCACGTGAATGGTTTGATTTCATAGTGAAAACTTTCTCTTCCCAGCCACCTGGTTTCCCTGGAAATCTAAGTATTATACCATCAGTTTGTTGTGTATCTTTCCAAAGATGTTTTATGCATACACAAACAGCATTTCCATGGCAAAACATCTATGTATTCCTTTTCCTCCTTTTTACACAAATATGTGTGTTATATACACTCTTCTGCATTTTTCTTTTCTTCATTTGATGATGTATTTGAGATATCGTTCTGTATTAGTACATAAAGACCTTCTTTGGTTTTTGGCCGGGCGTGGTGGCTCACACCTGTAATCTGAGCACTTTGGGAGGCTGAGGTGGGTGGATTACCTGAGGTCAGAAGTTGGATACCAGCCTGGCCAACATGGTGAAACTCTGTCTCTACTAAAAATACAAAAATTAACTGGGCATGGTGGCAGCCTCCTGTAATCCCAGCTACTTGGGAGGCTGAGGCAGGAGAATTGCTTGAAACCAGGAGGTGGAGATTGCAGTGAGCCGAGATCACACCATTGCACTCCAGCCCTGGTGACAGTGTGAGATTCCCTTTCAAAAAAAAGAAAAAGGCGGAGGTTGCAGTAAGCTGAGATTGTGTCACTGCATTGCACTTCAGCCTGGGCAATAGAGTGAGACTCTGTCTCAAAAAGAAAAAAAGATCTTCGATTTTTAATGGTTGTATTCTATTTCACCAAATGGCTGTACCATAAATCACTTCACCAATCCCCTACTGATCTAATCCCCTCATTTTAAATATATAAATATTAAATGGAAGAATAAATGCAAAAACGATTGCTGATTTTAAGTTAGTCTAGAATTGTGTGAAAAGAAAACTGTGGACTTTAGGAAGTTTTAGATCTCTAAGGAAAATGTCTAAGTAATTCTCCTCTTTCTGAGCTACAGACAAGAGGCATATGATCACTGATGACCTCCAAGTTCCTCTCATCTCTGGAATTCCCTGCTTTTTGGTGTCACTATTGGTTAACTGAGGTTAGTGGGGTTTTGAGACACTGATTTAGTCCAAAGAACCTGGTTTGGTATTCGAGCGTTTGGAAGTCATACTTTCTGGCTTGGCAACATAAGAAAACATAAAAAAGTTCATCTACTTCGACCTAATCATATAATTCCCCAGAAGTAACAAAAAGATATATTTTGGTTGAGTGAGGATATTCATTGTAGTTTTATTTTAATCACAAATGATTGAAAACACTCCAAAACCCCATCAATTAAGTGGAAAACTACATAATCATTTAAAATGATGACAGAAAGATTTTCATTGACTTATAAAAATGGTCACAGTATACTGTAAACGAAGGGGAAAGCAGTTTAAAAATGGTGCCTGTAGGTGTGGCTCACACCTATAATCCCAGTACGTTGGGAGGCCAAGATGGGAGGCTTGCTTGAGCCCAAGAGTTCAAGACCAGCAACACCACTGCTAAAAAAAAAAAATTAGCTGGGCATGGTGGCACATGCCTGTTATCTTAGGAGGATCACTTGAGCCCAGGAGGTCAAGGCTGCAGTGAGCCCAGATCGCACCACTACACTCTAGCCTAGGCAACAAAGCAAGACCCTATGAAAGAAAGAAAAGAAGAAAAGGAGAGGGAAAAGGAAGGAAGGAGGGAAGGGAGGGGGACGGAGGGAGGGAGGGAAAAGGGAAGGGGAGGGAAGGGAAGAGGAAAGGTAAGGAAGAAAGGAAGGAAAACAAAAGGAAAGAGAGACTATGTAGCATAAGCCAGATTTTATAAAGCATAATTTATGTATAAAGACTGCAAGGCCTTGAGGCAAAATGTTACAATGTTTATCTCTGGGTGATAGCTACTCATGTTTTCACTTTCTTCTTGCTTGTATTTTCTAAGTTCTCAAACAAATATGTATTACTTTTGTAGTGAGAAAGTTCACTTAGAAAGTAAGTTAAGTCTGAGTTTTCTGCAACCAGGGTATCCAGAACTTAAAAAGATAAGCAGGTAGGGCAGGTAAGAAGTCAGTCATTACATTGTAAGCATCGAAATAAAAATAAAACAAGTCATGGCCTTTTTCAGGGTCACTAATTGTCTAGTGAGTCAATGCATTATCATAATGTCTGTGGGTGGTCAGGCTAAGGAGTGCTTTCCCAACAGTGGAAAATTTTTCCAGGGAGATACCCAGGAGAGATAGTGTGGCATCTCAGGAATTTGAAAGTTAAACTAATTTATTAAGTTCAAGCTTGTAGGGGCAAGGTCAGCCAGCCAGAAAAGCACCTCACCTAAGCAGTACCTTAGACCTGGCTGAGTGAAGAGTCATGAGACTCTGTGGAGCCCAGCCAAGGTCTAGAGCAGAGGCATGGGATTTTAACCCATCTGGGAAGGAAGAGGTGGTAGGAGGCAGAAGGATGGAGAAAAGGTGATGACTGCAGCAAGTTTAGAATCCAAGATGGTTAGTGTTTAGCAAGCCCCAGTCAAGGGCAGAGGGCAGCTCTCCTTAGGAGGCTACCATGTCTTCATCACTCAGAACCTTGCCTGAAGCTTGTCTAGCATTTAGGACAGTTCCAGCAACACAGGCATCACTTAGAGATTGTTAGAAATGCAAAATCTGGCCAGGTGCAGTGGCTCACGCCTGTAATCCCAGCACTTTGGGAGGCTGAGGCAGGTGGATCACGAGGTTAGGAGTTTGAGACCAGTCTGACCAACATGGTGAAACCCTGTCTCTACTAAAAATACAAAAATTAGCCAGGCATGGTGACACGCGCCTGTAATCCCAGCTACTTGGGAGGCTGAGGCAGGAGAACTGCTTGGACCTGGGAGGCGGAGGTTGCGGTGAGTCGAGATCATGCCACTGCACCCCAGCCTAAGAACAGGGTGACACTCTTGCAAAAAAAAAAAAAAAAAGAGAGAAAGAGAATAAACTCACTTAAAACCCTAAACACATAGATAATTGCCCACACATTTGGATTACAGCTTTTCTCTTTATACTTTAAATGTATACTTTATATATTTTTAAATTATATATTTATATAATTTCATATAAAATGTCACACTGTGTATAGTTTTCTAGCCTCTGTTTTTCACTTATCATCATTTTTATATCATCAAAGAGTCTTCTACAGCCTTTTCTTCAAAATGAAGGTAGTTTTATTGTATTTTGGTTGTAAAAGTGATAATAGGAAAAAACCAACATTTGCTTATATGTGCATAGTCTCTAAAAGGATACACTAGTTGCTGGTCACACTGTTTACCTCTGGAGGGAGCCAGACAGAAGGCAGACAGGGATGAGAGAAGGAATTTTTTGTTTTTGTTTTTTGGTTTTTGAGATAGAGTTTCGCTCCTGTTGCCCAGTCTGGAGTGCAATGGCATGATCTCGGCTCACCGCAACTTCCACCTACTGGGTTCAAGCAATTCTTCTGCCTCAGCCTCCCGAGTAGTTGGGATTACAGGTATGCACCATCACGCCTGGCTAATTTTTGTATTTTTAGTAGAAATTGTGTTTCTCCATGTTGGTCAGGCTGGTCTCGAACTCCTGACGACCTCAGGTGATTCGCCTGCCTTGGCCTCCCAAAGTGCTGGGATTACAGGTGTGAGCCACCGTGCCTGGCCAAGAGAAGGAATTTTTAGTGTATAATCTTTTGGACTCTTGATTATGACTTTGTGAAGGTATTCTCTATAAAAAAAAAAAAATTAAAAAAAAAGCCTGATACATCCTCACTGCTGGAAAAAAAAAATAATCAAGCAGTATAGAAAGGCACAAAGGAGAAAGTAAATTAATCTTTAAACTCAAACTCAATATGCAGATACAACACTATTAATATTTTTCCATATTTCTTCCAAGCCTTTATCTATGGGTGTACAGACGTGTATATGGACATATTTTTACCAAAACAGAATGATGCTGTACTATGGTTTTTGTTACCTGTGTTTTTCATGTAGCTTGAATCACAGGCAGATTCTATGTAGCCTCATTTTATAACATCTGCATTGTTACTATGTGAAGGTAGCCAGTTACCAAAAAATTCATCCACGCAAACCGAGTCCAGCATCTGAACATGCAGTGCCCGCTAACAATAACCCCTTGACCCAAAGCTGGGATTTTCTTTTCCTTCCATGATGTTTAAACCCACCTTCTCAAAAAACAAAAAAATTGTGTTTCTCCATGTTGGTCAGGCTGGTCTCGAACTCCCGACGACCTCAGGTGATTCACCTGCCTTGGCCTCCCAAAGTGCTGGGATTACAGGTGTGAGCCACCACTCCCAGCTAATTTTTGTATTTTTAGTAGATACAGGGTTTCATCATTTTGGCCATACTAATCTCGAACTCCTGACCTCATGTGATCCTCCCACCTTGGCCTCCCAAAGTGCTGGTATTACAGGCATGAGCCATGATGCCCTGCCCAAAGCTGGGATTTTCAATTTGCTGTCTGTAGGATCTTGAATGGCAGGATGCTATGTTCCAGACCCTGGGGAGATAACATCTGGAAATGGGCTAGATGTTCCTTCCTTCCATGATGTTTAAACCCATGTTGCTTATTCCATAGATGCAAACACCTTCTACCTGCCCACCTCCCCTCAGCCTTCAGTTACTACTACCACCAGGACGATGCCAGAGGGGGCCTTGGTGGCCAGAGCCAATCTGCACATCAAAGACCTGAGCTTCCATCTGGTCTCTGCACATGCTGTGACCCTGGGCAAGTTGCTTTTTCTTCTCTGTAGAACACAGGTAATAATCTCCATGATGCCTTTATTAGAGTGTTGTTTTACTGGAAGAATCAGATGAGGTTATGATTGTGAAAGTAGTATGTAAAATACAGGGCACTGTACACATATAAGGTTTTATTGTTAAAGTCTGGCCTCGTCACTGGAGCTGTCAGGGAGAAGGCAGATGCCAAAACTAGTTGGCCCAGCTTCCTTCTGTGATTGGCTCTGCAGCAAAACATTCCCCTGTGCACTTTTCAACATCTACACACTCATCTTTAAAATAGAGGGTTGTAAAGGTCAAGGGCACAAAGTGTTGCCAAGGGCATGGAACAACGGACACTCCACTAACGCTTCTGCACAGCTTGTGGGAAGTAAATTGGTACAAAATAATGGGAAATTGACAAGATCTACTAAAACTGATCATGTGAATTCCCCTATGGCCCAGCAAGTCCTCTGCTAGTTATATAATAAACACAGGTATTGCAGATGTTCACGAAAAGACGTTATATTAGGATGTTCATAGCAGCACTACTTGTAAGAATCACAAACTAGAAACTGCCCCCAAATGTCCATCAGTAGTTAAATGAATAAATTACAATATTTTCATGCAATGGAATAAGATACAGCATAAGAGTTAATGGTATTGAACTACATGCAGCAATATGGAACAATCTTATAAACATGTTGAGCAAGAGAAGACTGACAAAAATAAGAGTACATGCCCGTCTCACTAATCTGTACTTGTTTCGCTGCATAATAAGGTTAGAACCCAAAACTTAAATGTCTCTTTTTTTTTTTTTTTTTGAGACGGAGTTTCGCTCTTGTGACCCAGGCTGGAGTGCAATGGTGCGATCTCGGCTCACTGCAACCTCCGCCTCCTGGGTTCAAGCAATTCTCCCGCCTCAGCCTCCTGAGTAGCTGGGATTACAGGCACGTGCCACCATGCCCAGCTAATTTTTTTGTATTTTTAGTAGAGACGGGGTTTCATCATGTTGACCAGGATGGTCTCAATCTCTTGACCTCGTGATCCACCCACCCACCTCGGCCTCCCAAAGTGCTGGGATTACAGGCTTGAGCCACCGCACCCGGCCAACTTAAATGTCTTAAAACAACAGATTGGTTACTTCTCATGAGAAGATGGAATAGCTGTGTAATTTCTCTTCTGATTTCACCTCAGTTGACTTATAAGGCTGCACTCAGCTGCAGATTTGGCTGGGTGGGAAGGTCTGAGGTACCCTCACGTGATCTTGTTCTGGCAATGCTCCGTTCTTTCCCAGGTGGCCTAGACCACTTTCCTTACATGGCAGTCTGAGGGCAGCATTCCAAGACAGTGAAAGGAGAAGCTGCAGAGTCTTAAAGCTAAAGGTTGTAACAGGCAAGGGTTGTAAGGGCCCAGCCTCAGGAGCTGTATTGTGTCCGTTCCTCTGCATTCTATTGATCACACCGCAAGTCAGAATGCCAACCCAGATTCAAGGGTGTGAAAATAGACTCTACCTCTCCACGAGTAGAAGTCACATTGCAAAGGGGGGTCACACATACAGGAATGGAGAAATCTGTGGTCCGTCTACCATGATACACTATGACTCCATTTACATAAAGTAGAAAAACGGGTAAAATCCATTTATGCTGTTACAAATGCCTTGACAAATGGGCCTGGAGAGGACTATGAGAGACCGTCTGGGTTCCTGATGTGTTCTGCTTCTTCATCTAGGTACTGATGACCAGACTGTTCCATTTACGACCAGCAAGCTATGAATTTAAGATATCTGAAACTTTTTTTTTTTTTTTGAGACAGAGTTTTTGCTCTTGTTACCCAGGCTGGAGTGCAATGGCACGATCCCAGCTCACCGCAACCTCCGCCTCCTGGGTTCAGGCAATTCTCCTGCCTCAGCCTCCTGAGTAGCTGGGATTACAGGCACACGCCACCATGCCCAGCCAATTTTTTGTATTTTTAGTAGAGACAGGGTTTCACCATGTTGATCAGGATGGTCTCGATCTCTTGACCTCGTGATCCACCTGCCTCGGCCTCCCAAAGAGCTGGGATTATAGGCATTAGCCACCGCGCCCAGCCGATATCTGAAACTTTTTATATGATTACTATACTCGAAAGTTTAGAGGTTATAGAGTGGTATTAAAAGAATGCAGTTCATTTCCCTTTCCAGTTACAGTCCCATCCATCAGGCTGGTGGAGGAGCTCATCTCCTCAATGTTACTTGGGACCCTCACTTTCTTCTCTCTTGCTGTGCCATCATCTTGTCCTCATTGAGAGTCGAAGCTGTTGCTGGCAGTCTGCATTCCAGCTAGTGGAGAGGGATCAGAGGGGTAGTCCTAGACAAGCACATTCCTTGCAAGCTAATAAGGCAGAAGTTACACACATTACTTCCACTCACAATCCACTGGCAAGCACTGATTCTCATGGTCTGCCTAGCTGGGAATGTAGTCTCTTAGCTGGGCAGCCTGTGCCAAGGAGATGTGCCGATTTCAGGAAAACAAGTAGCAGTCTACTGCATTTCTTTTCTTTTCGTTTTGAGATGGAGTCTCACTCTGTTGCCCAGGCTGGAGTGCAGTGGCGCAATCTCCACTCACTGCAGCCTCTGCCTCCCAGATTCAAGCGATTCTCCTGCCTCAGCCTCCTGAGTAGCTGGGACCACAGGTGCGTGCCACCATGCCCAGCTAATTTTCGGATTTTTAGTAGAGATGGGATTTCACCATTTTGGCCTTACTGGTCTCAGACTCCTGGCCTTCAATGATCCGCCTGCCTCAGCCTCCCAAAGCACTGGGATTACAGGTGTGACCACTACCCCTGGCCCATCTACTACATTTCTAATGATAAAGCTGCTCTTTAATAATTACGTTTGAGAAGACCATTTGGAAATAGTTCTTTTCTCACTGTCAGACTGTAAAAACACCAAGTGACCTGAGTTCTACACTTTTCTGTGCCAAAATGAAGAAAATTAATAATAAACATCCATTTTTCCTTAAGTATATACATTTAAATCATATATAAGTAAATATATACACTTATTTCCATTTAAAATATGCAATTGGCCAGATTCCAAGGGTTTATACACCTTCCTGGAAAAAAAGTCATCTATCTTTAAAAAATTCCTTGATAAGATTTTAGAGGGTAGCCTCTAAAATGAAGTGTTCAATGAATGTTCAAGGAATGAATGAATTTTAGCCCGTATCTTAGGTGCTGAGAGTATCTCAATGACATGGTATTCAACTACATGCAGCTTTAGGGCATATCAGTCTAAAAAACATCCTCTACAAACACTAACATTTACTAATCTATTTTCTACTTAAAATGAATAGATAATTTGACATGAAGCACACGTACAGTTTGTGGAAATAATTTTATTGGTAATAGGACCCTAATAACTCATCGGAGCCCTACTATCTTCTCACATGTACTTTCCTTCTCCTGGCAGCCTGTCCCGCTTCCCTGGGACCCCCTCCCAACTCATTCCCATGGATTTTCTGACTTGCCTATCTCCCCTCTGGGAAAAAGTGTCAGCTGCAGCACTAATAATCCAGCACATGCTAGGACTGTCCCTGAGACAGCGGTCTACTGCCCCTAGGCACTTGGGCAGGGGATCTACTTGGAGCCAGAAAGTTAAAAACTGGTCTGGAAGATACAAACAATGTCATGGTCTATGACTTTGTGACATCATGCAAACATCACAAAAGGCTGCAAAGAAAAGTGATTGGGCTTTGAGTCAGGCTGACCCAGATTCATACCGAGTAGCTGGGACCACCACACTCTGTGGTGTTACACTTAATATGTGTGTAACTTTGGGCAAAGTACTGCATGTCTCTAGAGTCGGCTTCCTCATCTGTGAAATGGAAATAATACAGGAATATTGGGAATAATAAATGAGAACAAATGTATTTAGCCCTCTGTAGATGCTTAGCAACATAGCTTCCTCTCCCACTACCCCTTTGCCTTTCCAGAGTTGAAAGATCCATAGCAAGGAATCAAAGGAGTGTGGAACAACGACTAAAGTGTTAGAGGAGAAGATCTAAGAATAGACAAAGGAATAGTAAATGTTTCATATGGAAAAGGGAACATTTAGTTTGGACAGGAAGGACAATAAATAACTATGGCTACCATTTGTCAATGCCTACCACCTTTCCTGGCATTTAAAGTAGTTATGTCCAGTCTTTAGAACGGCCCTGTGGCGAGGTATGATCATGAGCCCCATGTTATAAAGTGAAGAGGAAAAAGATTTTATAACTTGCCCAAGATCATCCAGTTAAATGGAGAAGTGGAGGTTATCAGTCCAATATGACTCTTTGTACTAGCTTAAGAACAGACTCTCGGCCGGGCGTGGTGGCTCAAGCCTGTAATCCCAGCACTTTGGGAGGCCAAGATGGGTGGATCATGAGGTCAAGAGATCGTGACCATCCAGGTCAACATGGTGAAACCCCGTCTCTACTAAAAATACAAAAAATTAGCTGGGCATGGTGGCACGTGCCTGTAATCCCAGCTACTCAGGAGGCTGAGGCAGGAGAATTGCCTGAACCCAGGAGGTGGAGGTTGCGGTGAGCCAAGATCATGCAATTGCACTCCAGCCTGGGTAACAAGAGCGAAACTCCGTCTCAAAAAAAAAAAAGAGACTCTCAGTTGGATGCGGTGGCTCATGCCTGTAATCTCAACACTTAAGGAGACTCCAAGACCGATGGATCACCTGAGCCCAGGAGTTTGAGATCAGCCTGGACAACATGGCAAAAACCCACCTCTACAAAACACACACACACACACACACACACAAATTAGCCAGGTATGGTGGTGCATGCCTGCAGCCCCAGCTACTCGGAAGGACTGATTGAGCCCTGGTGACCAAGGGTGCAGTTAGCCATGATCACACTGAGGGAACAAGGAAGGTGGCTATCAGCCACCTGGTATCAGAGACATGCAGAGGCCAGAGAAGACAAATGCAAAATCTTTCTTTGGCTGGTACTTGTCAGAAAGGGAATCTCCAGGCCTCATGTGACTTACGTGTGGGCATCTCTGAAGGCAGGAAGGACTTCATTTTCCCTGGAGGAAAATGGGCCTGTGAGCACGAGGCTGAGGACTGACTCCTGGGGGCCACACAGGCAGGCCTGAGCACCTTGCCTCTCCTCACTGAAGGGGCTTAATATCTGGGGCACAGTTGACTCCACCCCTCTCCTTTTTCCTGTATGTTCTTCCCCTCCTCCCCCGCAAGACAAGGTTTCATTCTATCACACAGGCTGGAGTGCGGTGGCATGACCTCAGCAGCTGGGACTACAGGCACGTACCACTACACCGGATAATTTTTGTATTTTTTAGTAGAAATGGGGTTTCACCATGTTAGCCAGGCTGGTTTCAAACTCCTGACCTCAAGTGATCTGCCCACCTTGTTTTTCCTATATGTTCTAATGTTATTTCAGAGATCCCCTTTGCCTCACTCTGGCCATTCCAAATACATATATATATATATGTTTCATTTATATAAATCCAAATAAACATATTAAAATTGTAAGTGAGATATTTTTGGCCTTCATCTTTGAATCTCAATGTTTTCTCATCTGTAGAACAGGTGTGCTAACTCCTATAACTCTGGCCAATGCCCATGTGGTTCTTGGCTGCATCGAGCCATCTCAGGTCTGATTGTCACACAAGCTCAGTAGCTTTGGGCTAGGGGGTACTGCCCCCCCTCCCCCTCAACTCTGCTGCCACTTTGAATAGAAGTTAAAGTTTTCACTTTCTTGCCCTTACTTTGATTCTTCACATTGCTGAGGAGCAGTGACTGGAGCTTAATCTCACTGTCTATAATCTGTCTCCTCTATGGAGCTAAACTATTCTTTCCCATCTCCGTTATTTTTGAGGTAACCAAAACAGTCTCTCTCCCCACTGCCTTTTTTCTTTTGTAAAGACTTGGAAAGGATCAGTTCCGGAGGCTTGAGCCCTGTTCTGACTTTCACAGAGGACTGCCACTCTTTACACTGACAGGTCATCATTCTGAGCAATAAACTTTTTCTGAAGAGTAGTCCTGAAAGGTCACTAAAAGTTACATTTGTGTTTAACTTAGAGAACTTTAGTCCATGTTTCTGGACTCTATACCTGATTTTGAATTACTGGACTTAAATTATTTGACTGATACACTGATACATCTTCTAAAGAACCTAATCAAAGAATACCAGCCCTACGTCACACTCGCTGCAAGATAACAGGGAAAGACACAAAGCCACGCTGAGGAGGGGCCATGGTTTGATATTGTCCAGGGAGTGTCTCTTGGCCTCAGAAAGCTGCCACTTCTTGCAGTTCCAGCCCTTGGCTGTGGTCCACTCTGAGTAAGTGAATTCCTCTGTTAAAACTTGCACATAGTAAGGAGATGGCATCACCAACAGCCAGAGAAGTCAAGGGTCCTGATCCATCCAGAGTCAAGGTGAAAAGGCAGGCTGGGGGGGAAAGCGGAACCGGCAGATTAGGCCAAGAGTGTAGCATCATGAAATGTGATGTCTTCATGAGAAATGCGAGGAAATAAAGCATTTTCTGTACATATCTAACCCGTATGAGAGAGGCCCCACTTCTTCTGAGCAAAGCAAACCAGGGAGGTCAGAACTTGGGCCAACCCCATGACTTCAATGGTAGAAAATGGCACAGGGACCAAACAGGATGCATATCATTACCAAGAAGTATGCTCAGACAATCGGGGTCTCATGGCTAAGGACATGGTACAAAGATGCCCTCAGTCACCTGCCCAGAGAGTAAAGCAGGGCCCAGGCAGGGAAAGAAATACAAGGATACTGATCTTTAGCTGCTGGCTTCCTGAGGTCTTGATGTCTTGGAGATGAAGGGTAATGGGGGAGCCTGAAAAGCATTCTTTGGGGGTTTCAGCTGATCCAGTCTCCCTCTATCTGCATCTTGGAGGCCACTCTTCTAAGAACTACAGGCACATACTTGGTGGGCAGAGAAGCTGAGCCACTTGGTCAGGTCAACACTTTCAGACCTCATTCTGCGTGGTCAGGTTTATGATCATTAAGTCTAAAACATCTGCTTTTTCTCCTCATGCAACTGTTACACCTGGGTGGCTGGAGAAGCCACTCCAGATAAGGAAGGGTACAGCAGGCTGTCCTTACTATGGAAGTTTGGCTTGTGGCCACCGCTGTTTGCAGAGTGCCCACAAGACATGGTCTCGCTTTTTTCTCTGAGGGAACTACCCTGTCTCCCCTGAAAGGAGCTGAGTTCTAGAAGATTGCTGTAGGAGAGATTTGGTTTCAAGTTCTTTAAGTCAAGCTATTTCTGTCTGTGGCAGAACCCTGTGTCCAGGGCAGAATAGATGGAGGCAGTGGGGTGCTGGTAAAGCAACTTTCTGGAAGAAACCACCACTACTGATTCACAGCACTTGTCAATTTTAATGGTATGAATGCCTCCACCGTGATCAGATTTCAGGCTACCAAAGGTTTAAACGTCAGCTCATAAAAATCCTGAATATTTAACAATTGGCCAGCAAGAGCTGGCTCCAGCAGATCCAGGACTCTGGGGAGCTCGGTTGCATAAGACATCTTTTTCTCTGATGTTTTGAAATGTTATGAGCTTACCGAGTTCTTAAACTTCAGCTACAGAATCAAAACAGGGCAGAGACTTTCTGAAACTGTCCTTACCCCCACCAAGAGCTGAGGCTTTCATTTTAGTCCTTAAAAGAATTCAAAAGTGGCAATTCTTGTTCTCTTTTCCAGATATTTTGAGTGTCACAAATTAGAATGTCATGAGGAACTTCAGTTAGGAAGAATAGTTCTCAGGAATGAGTCTATATGACATGGTACCAGGGGATTCATGGGGATAGCATCTTGATATCACCTCTTAACCATGGGCCTGGACAGTGGCAAAAGATGGGTGGCTTTGTAATGTTGAGCAATGGGAAGAAGGAGTTTTAAAGAAGGCTTTAGGACTTCATGTATCTTTTGAGGAGAACTGACAGCAGGCTTCTTACCTCCAGTGTCTTGATTCCAAATCTTCACCTTGCAATCGTGTGATGAGGTAGCAATTAAAGGCATCAAGGCCAGTGCTCTTGGTAGAAAGACACAGGATGAAACAGTCTGGAAATGCCCCCTATACTCACATATTCTGTTTCGAGTCTGTCGTAGGTCCCACAACTGCAAAGTAATGACATGGACCAGCTCATACTTACTTGTCTAGCTTCATCCGTGAATATCCATCTACCCCCACTCCCACAATGCACCTATTCCCTCCACTTACCTGCTCATGTAGCTACCCCTTATCTTCATCCATCCAGACCCAATGACCCATCCATCCAGTGATTATTTTAAGCCTCAATTATGTCTCAAACAACCCTGGTTAAGAATGTGTCAGAAGAGTTTTTTCCTCTTTAATGGTTAGAAAATTCAAAGCTCCCAGTCCTACAGCATGATGGAACAGTATGGGGTTGTTTGCTTTCATGGCAACTCAACAGCTGCCTTATTTCAACCTCTTGACATCTGTGGGTCCTGTGGGGACCCCATGGTTAAAGGTACCCCATAGGTATAAGTACATCTAGGTGGAGACATTTTGATTTAATGTCTAGATGCTGACCCTTGATGTGTGAAGACTAGTGTCTACAAGAGGGAAGTGCCAGCCAGTGCTGCCAGTCCCTCTCTCATTGACACAGATCAGACCACAGCTGGAGAATAATGTTCAGGGAGGAGAGCAAATTGAATTATGTCCAAAAAGATAATGAAGTTATTGGACAGCATGTTATCCAGGGAATAGCTGTAGGAGCTAGAAATGTTTCACTTATAAAAGAGATGCTACATTCAAAGCCTGCGACACCCCAATCTACCATTTACAAGGGATGTGGTCTTGTGTGAGGGATGTCAACTTGCCATACCTCTATTTCCTTGTCTGTAAAATGGGAATTATAGTAGTACCTAACTCGTGGGGTTGTTTTTAATGATTAAATGAGATAGTACATGTAATGTGCTCAGCCTGGTGCCCAACACACAAGAAATGTTCGATAAAATGGGAGCCATAGGCCATGAGAGGTGGCTCACGCCTGTAATCCCAGCACTTGGGGAGGCTGAGGTGGGCAGATCACGAGGTCTGGAGATCAAAACCATTCTGGCCAACATGGTGAAACCTCGTCTCTACTAAAAATACAAAAATTAGCCGGGTGTGGTGGTGTGCACCTGTAGGACCAGCTACTCAGGAGGCTGAGGCAGGAGAATCACTTGAACCCAGAGATGGACGTTGTAGTAAGCCAAGATCGCACCACTACACTCCATCCTGTCGACAGAGTGAGACTTCATCTCAAAAAAAAAAGGAGCCATATTGTTCTGTTTGAATACTAGATAACCCTTTTAATGGATATTCTACAATTATGAATCTAAGGTACAATGGAGGAGCCTAGGCAATCTACCCCAAAATTAACCGCAAGGAAGGCATATGGATGGCCCTGGACCAACACTGGAGCTCCAAATTTCCTAAAAACCTTGAGCTTCCTTTACTGTGGCCATGTGTATAATGGGAATAAATCTGGTTCTTCAAACAGTCCCTCCCCTCTGCAAGCTCTGCTGATGTCTCTGGAGTAGAGACATCAGCAGGCTGGTTCTGCGTTTAGCTCTTCTCTACCTTGACTCTCATCCCATTCCTCTTTCCTACTACCAATTCAGAGGGCCCAATTTGATGAATGTTTCTTTTTTCTTTTTTTTAAGAGATGGGATCTCTCTTGTTGCCCAGGCTGGCCTCAAACCCCTTGGCTCAATTGATCCTCCCACCTCAGCCTCTGAATAGCTTGGACTAAAGGTGCATACCACCATGCCCAGCTAACTTTTAATTTTTTTTTTAATAGAGACAGGTTCTTGCTCTGTTTCCTAAGCTGATCTCAAACTCCTAGGCTCAAGTAATCCTCCACCTTGGCTTCCTATATGATTTTTTTTTTCTTTTTGAGATGGAGTTTCACTCTGTCAACCAGGCTGGAGTGCAATGACACGACCTCAGCCCACTGCAGCCTCTGACTCACTGGTTCAAGCGATTTTCCTGTCTTAGCCTCCCAAGTAGCTGGCATTACAGGCACGTGACACCATGCCCAGCTAATTTTGTATTTTTAGTAGAGATGGGGTTTCATCATATTGGTCAGGCTGGTCTTGGTCTCCTGATCTCGTGATCCACCTGCCTTGATCTCCCAAAGTGCTGGGATTACAGGTGTGAGCCACTGTGCCTGGCCAGAATGTTTCTTAAATGAAGCACATGGAATGCAAAGGATCACTCAGAGTATGCCTTTGAAAGAGGCCTGAGCCATTAGCAAAGCCTGCCTGTATAGCTCAGCAACAGGCACGAGGCCAGAGTAAGCGACCTATTCATCGGCAACCAGATACCTGGACCCCACACAGTCTCCTACCGTGGCTTCACAGCCTTCTCCTCCGAAGCCATTGCTGCAGGAGATACACTTGTGTCCATCCACGCTGACTTCACAGTAGGTCTGAATGTGTTGCTTTGCAGGAAACATATGAGCTACCTGCAGCCCCCGACTGTCCCATAATCTGAAAGAGATTAGGGCAGGAAATTAGCTTGCAGTAAGTGTGGCTGAAATACACCCGTATTGTCCCACTACCATAAAAGTCTTGGCTCTTTGCTGCGTAAGCCAGTCAGATTGGAAAGGCATGATTTGCCTAAAAACAGCAGCATGAACCAGATCAACCTCTGAGATTCTAAAGCTGGCAGGAAGTAACCAAACTGAATGACATCTGAGTTCTTTCTATTTTGAGATCAGTTAATAGAAATTGAGACCAAGCATCTTAATTGTACAAGTCAATTTGTTAATTTGGTCCTTTGAGACACTGCTTTCCATGGACAAAAGGATATTTCTATGCCTGTGACTTAAATTTTTTAAAAAGATACTTATTATGATATGGAAGATCAGTCATCATTCAGAATCAGTTACAAAAGATTTACATACAGGTCATGGCCAACCTTGGCTATGGGGTCCACTGGGGACGGTTTTGTTTTGCTTCTTATTTCATTTTTCCCTCTTTACTCCATTCATACCATTTTCTAAGGAGAATCTCTTCTGAGAACCAAAGTTTCTCGTTGTGCTCTCCAGTCTAAGAACTATTGACTTTACTGACTCCCCTGATGCTGATTTCAACCCTGCTTCCCCAGGGAGGGCTTCAGCTGAGGGCTGGGTGACTGAGAACACCAGCAGCCATGCAGAGGTAGCAAGGAGAGCCAGGCAGCCTGACAGGGTGTAACAAGCAAGTGACTGATTCTGGAGTTAACCTGAACACGTTCACACAGCAGGAGCTGGCCGAATCAGATGCTCTGAAACCATCCAGAACAGGGGCTTTTACCTGGCCTGATCTCATGGCATCTAATCTCTACCTTAATGATCCATGGGGCCAGAGCAGAGAGGCCCCAGCACCAGTGAAGTTCAGAGGAAAAGAAGGCTCTGGGAAGGGCAGAGCCATGTGGAGAAGCAGAGTGGGAATGGAGCCACATATACATGGGAGCAGCAAACCTCACCAGAAACACTTTCACTGCTGCTCAGTAAGCCTACCTGAGGGTTTTATCTTCAGAGGTCTGTAGTATGTATGGTTCTCTGGGGACCCAGCACAGGTGAGTGACCTAGAAAAAGCAAAATATTTAGAGCTTCTCCACACCAAGTCATTCCTCTGCTGTAATTCCTGTCAAATGTGCTAACTGGTATCACTGTGCCTCTTCTCAAGGATTCTGAACTAGCAAATTCATTTACAGGGATCTTACATTTTGCAGATACCTATCAGTCATGCATGCTCTACCTGCATCTCTTAGGTTATCAGCAGCAAGGTAGCAGCTGGGCCAGTTGTAAGCACCAAAATACATACAGATGCCCTTAGAGTGCCTGATACCCCAGCTGTGTGGCAGCTAAACAGCCCCTGTTGTAAGGTGGGCTCACTGAAACTCTAGCCCCAACACCTCATGGGGATCAGGAAGGGCATTTGTGTTTCTCTTTACCCTGCAGGCCCCTTCTGGACAGGCATAAAACAGTTTCCAAAATAACAGGATTCTCTTTTCTTCCAGTAACCTCCACTAATAGAGAGGGCATGGGCAAGCAGATATGACCATTGGCAGTGGTCTTCAAAATTAGAAAAGATGACTGGGCCTGAAAGTTGATGACCACTGAAGAACATTTACTATGGGTCAGGCACAATGACAGGTGTTTCACTTCTAGTATCTCAATTCAGCCTCTGAAGAAACTTAGCAGGTAATAGAACACTCCCCATTTTATAAATGAAGACACAGACACTCTAAGAGATTAAGTAACTTCCTTGAGATAACATAGCTCGTAAGTAATAGATCCGTGATTTGAACCTGGGTATGACTGGCTCCAAAGGCTCTGCAGTTTATACCAGTCTGCTACTAGAAAACAATGGGTCCTTCAAAAGCAATGCAAATTCTACATAAAGCAAAAGGTAATGCTTATTTCATGATATTATACATATGAACATACAATTAGCATAAGCTGTGAGCTCCTAGAAGACAGGAACTATGTCCTTGGTCACTAAACCTGTTCCTCGCACACTGTCTGGCCCACAGTAGAAATGGAGTAACAAAACAAATAATGAAGACACCTTCTTAAATTCCAATATAAGTGAGTAAAATCATTGTCTGGAGCAGAAGACTCAAGGGACCATCTAGTCTAATAACGCTGAGAGGCCAAGGTCTCACATCAGGTTAGGTGACAGCAATGGGGACCCATGCTCTAATTCCTGCCCATGGGCCTCCTGACCTCTCCCCCCAACCTCCACCAGGGCCTTTCCTTTACCCCATGCTCCTTCCTGCTGTCCTGTTCTGTACCAAGTTTGAGTTCATACCACGTTCCTGGAGACAGATGCTCTTTCCACAGTCTGTCCTGTCACCACATCCCACAGAAGCAGGGTGTTGTCCCGGGAACCAGTGCACAGCTGTGATGAGTCTTTGGAAACAATGGTGAGAAGACAGCCTGTGAGTAGGGACCTGAATAGGGCTTTTCAGAAAGTACAAAGGTGTTGGGGAGAGCTCCGTTTTGTTTTACCTGGACTCACGGCCAATCCAGTGACCACCATGGAATGGCCACACAGTTGCTGCCTTGGTTGCGAGGCACCATGCAAGTCCCACATCATGACTATCCTGTCACGAGAGGCGCTGAAGAACTGGCTGGATTTGGGAATACAGGATACCTACTCAGGGAAAAAACAACAAAATTGAAATAGCTCTAGTGTGCTAGTTGGACTGGACTTTAAATTGGGGGAAAGATGGGTCTGCATAACTCCCTCCCCACACACACCTCATTTATTTGAGACAGAGTCTTGCTCTGTCACCCAGGCTGGAGTGCAGTGGCATGATCATGGCTCACTGCAGCCTCTGCCTCGTAGGTTCAAGCAATTCTCCTGCCTTAGCCTTCCCGGTAGCTAGGATTACAGGCACGCACCACCAAAATACAAAAATGCCCGGTTAATTTTTGTATTTTCAGTAGAGACGGAGTTTCACCATGTTGGCCAGGCTGGTCTTGAACTCCTGACCTCAGATGATCTACCTGCCTTGGCTTCCCAAAGTCCTGGGATTGCAGGCGTGAGCCACTGCACCCAGCCCCGACACACACTTCTTAAAAGAGTAATACCTAAGCTTGAAATCTATTAATGTAAAGCGTGGGCCAGTCTGAATTTCCACCTTTTTCAATGTTGTGCTACCTTTTACTTTATGTAGCAGTATTCCTCCTGTCCTTTGGGGTAAGGTTAAAAATCTTTCCTCCTCTGAAACCCCACCTCTACAAAAAATACAAAATTTTGCTGAGTGTGGTGGCGTGCGCCTGTAGTCCCAGCTACTCAGGAGACTGAGGCAGAATAATCGCTTGAATACAGGAGGCGGAGGTTGCAGTGAGCTGAGATCACACTATACTCCAGCCTGGGTGACAGAGCGAGACTTGGTCTCAAAAAAAAAAAAAAAAAATGCCTCCTTAGATCATGTTACCTTGGTGGGGATGTCCCCCTCTTGGGCTTCATATAGAACTTCCTCCTGTGGGATTCCTTTTGCACTTGATCATCACCACACCCTAAAAACGGGTACTGTACTGTTATGACAGGTAATTCTGTTGTACTTATGAATTTGAAGTGAATCTGTTCCATTTCATGCTTTTTACCTTGAATACAACTTTGCTCGATATTGTTATCATCCCAACGCCTGGTCTGTTTGTTTACATTTGCCTGATACATCTTTGCTCACCTGTTTTTCCTCTTCTGATCTCTTCCCTCATGTTTCTTTTTTTAAATTGTGGTAAAATATACATAAAACTTGCCATTTTAACCATTTTTAAGTGTACAGCTCAGTGGCAACAAGTACATTCATTGTTGTGGAACCACCACCACCATCACCTCTAGAACTTTTTTATCTTTCCAAACTGAAACTCTATACCCTTTAAACAATTACTCTCCATTTCCCTCTCCCCGCAGCCACTGGCACCCACCGTTATTCTGCTTTCTGTCTCTATGGACTTGACTATTCTAGGTACCTCATGTAAGTGGAATTATACAATATTTATCCTTTTGTGTCTAGCTCTTACTTAGCATAATGTTTTCATTTTCAAGGTTCATCCATCTTTGTAACACGTATCAGAATTTGATTCTTTTTTTTTTTTTTTTTTTTTTTTTTTTTTGAGACAGGGTCTTGCTCTGTCATCCAGTTCACTGAAACTTCCAGTGCATGGGCTCCAGCAATCCACTTGCCTCGGCCTCCTGAATAGCTGGGATTATAAGCATGCACCACCATGCCTGGCTAATTTTTGTATTTTCTGTAGAGACAGGGTTTTGCCATGTTGCTCAGGCTGGCCTCGAACTGCTGGGCTCAAGTGATTTGCCTGCCTCAGCATCCCACAATGGTGGGATTACAAGCACGAGCCACTGTGCCTGGCCTATTTCATTCCTTTCAAAGGCTGAAAATAGCCCATTGTATGTATATTACCACGTTTTGTTTATCCATGAATCTGTTAAAGGACATTTGGGTTGTTTCCAGCTTTTGGGTATTGTAAACAATACTGCTATTAATATGGGTGTACAAATATCTGTTCTATCTTTACTTACTGTTTTACTTTCAATCTTTAAGCTGCTTTGCAGTAGATATGTGTTATTTATTTATTTATTTATTTACTGAGACACAGTCTCACTCTGTGGCCCAGGCTAGAGTGCAATGGCATGATCTCTGCTCACTGCAACCTCTGCCTCCCAGGTTCAAGCAATTATCCTGCCTCAGCCTCCCAAGTAGCTGGGATTACAGGCACGTGCCACCCTGCTTGGCTAATTCTCTTTTTTTATTTTTAGTAGAGCTGGGGTTTCGTCATGTTGGCCAGGCTGGTCTTGAACTCCTGACCTCAAGTGATCTGCCCACCTTGGCCTCCCAAAGTGCTGGGATTACAGGTGTGAGCCACTATGCCCCACCTAGGTATGTCTCTTTTAAACAATGTATAGGTGGCGTTAGTTTTTAACTCAGTAAAAGTACTTTTTCAATAAATAAATTTAGGCTGGGTGTGGTGGCTCATGCCTGTAATCTCAGCACTTTGGGAGGCCGAGGTGGGCGGATCACCTGAGGTCAGGAGTTCGAGACCAGCCTGGCCAACATGGAGAAACCCCATGTCTTAAAAAAAAAAAAAGTAAATTTATCCCAATTACATTATTGCTATCATATGTAAGTTTGGTCTTGTTTCTTCCATCTTTTCTGTTAGTTTTTGAAAAATATTTTGCCATATTTTCATTGTCTTCTTTTTCTATAAAACTGTGTATTTGTTTTGTTTTTTTTTAATTTTAATTTTTGAAAAAAAGATGGGGTTTCACCATGATGGCTGGTCTTGAACTCCTGACCTCAGGTGATCCGCCCACCTCGGCTTCCCAGAGTGCTAGGATTACAGGTGTGAGCCACCACACCCAGCCAAACTGTATATTTGTTTTTAGATATATTTTTCTCTCTCTTTATATTTTTAACATAAAGAATACATAATTTAAATTCTTCTCATGATACCTCAATATATGTATTAATAACCTTAAAATTATATTCTCAATTTATTAAATTCAGAAAGAAAACAGAAAAAAAATTTTTTCTTTAATTAGCACAATTATATTACTTCTGGCTCATTCCCATGTTTGAAGGTACTCTCTTGGATTTTTATCCAGTGTATTATCATATTATTATTTTGCATTTTATACATATAAATTTTTTAAATAATTAAAACAATTACATTTCATCTCATAACCCTAGTTTTGGCAATTCTTTAGACATAATTGTGTTTAATTGGATTGAAGCCTCATACAGTGAATTCAGTTTGCAACTTCTTTAATATTCATTGGCTTTATTATTCATCATTCATTCACATTCTTTAATAATATACCTTCAACTACATTATTGAGGAATGCTTTACATATGGCAAGATTTTACAAATTTAAGAATGTATTTCTAGGCTGGGCATGGTGGCTTATGTCTATAATTCCAGCACTTTGGGAGGCCAAGGTGGGCAAATCATGAGGTCAAGAGATCAAGATCATCCTGACCAACATTGTGAAACCCTGTCTCTATTAAAACTACAAAAATTAGCTGGACATGGTGGCGCGCACCTGTAGTCCCAGCTACTTGGGAGGCTGAGGCAGGAGAATTGCTTGAATTCAGGAGACAGAGGTTGCAGTTAGCCGAGATCATGCCATTGCACTCTAGCCTGGTGACAAAGCGAGACTTCATCTCAAAAACAAACAAAAAGACAAAGAATGTTCTTCCATTGACTTTACATATGAGCAGCATTCTCCCCACATTAAGATCTTTCCTTCCTTCCCTTCCTTCCTTCCCTCCTTCCTTTCTTCCTTCCTTCCCTCCTTCCTTTCTTCCCTCCTTCCTTTCTTCCTTCCTTCTTCTTTCTCTTTTTATGTCTGTCTTTATTGTCTTTCTCCTTCCTTCCTTCCTTCCTTCCTTCCTTCCTTCCTTCCTTCCTTCCTTCCTTCCTTCCTTCCTTCCTATTCTTTCTCTCTCTCTCTCTCCCCGCTCTCTCTTTCTTTCTGACTGGGTCTCACTATGTCACTCAGGCTGGGGTGCAATGGCACAACTATAGCTCACTGCAGCCTTCATCTCCCTGGCTTAAACAATCCTCTTGCCTTAGCCTCCCAAGTAGCTGAAACTATAGGCATACACCACCACAACTACCTAATGTATCTGTATTTTTATTTTTAGTGGAGATAGGTCTTGCTCTGTTGCCCAGGCTGGTCTTGAACTCCTGAGCTCAAGCAATCCTCCCGCCTCAGCCTCCCTAAGTGCTGGGATTACAGGAATGAGCTATCCTGCATGGCCAATTTTTACTTTTTAATAATATTTTTCCTCAAGTATTTTCTCTCCCAGATAATTCTTCTATTGTCTTACTTTTTTTTGAGATAAAATCTTGCTCCATCACCAAGGCTAGAGGACAGTGAAATGATCACACCTCACTGTGGCCTCAACCTCCTGGGCTCAAGTGATCTTCCCACATCAGCTTCCTGAGTAGCTGGGACTATAGGCGTGCACCACCACATCCAACTAATTTTTTAATTTTTTGAGGAGATAGGGTCTTATTATTGCCCAGCTGGTCTCAAACTCTTGGGCTCGAGCAATCCTCCTGCCTTGCCTTGCCAAAGTGCTAGCATTACCGGCATGAGTCACTGCACCTGGCTTGTCTTATTTTTTCAATTTCTTGTTTCATAGAGTACATGTTCTCTTAATTTATAAAGAATAAAAAGTATTAATCAAATTTTGTCTCTGCTTCTTGAGTAGTTCTTCCTTCAAAGTGTTTTTTCATCTGACATTAGCTTGTTACATGTATATCTTTTTTCTTTTTTTTTTTTTTTTGAGATGAAGTCTTGCTCTGTAGCCCAGGCTGGAGTGCAGTGGCACGATCTCAGCTCATTGCAAACTCCACTTCCCACATCCTGGTTCAAGCAATTTTCCTACCTCAGTGTCCCAAGTAGCTGGGATTACAGGCACGAGCCACCATGCCCAGCTAATTTTTGTATTTTTTAGTAGAGATGGGGTTTCACCATGTTGGCCAGTCTGGTCTTGAACTCCTGACCTCATGATCTGCCTGCCTCATCCTCCCAAAGTGCTGGGATTACAGGTGTGAGCCAATCTAGACATACAGGCCTCACGTTAGATCCTTTCTGCTTGTTGATCTTTTCATCTTTGAATGAGGGCAAGTCCAGTCTTTGGTAGTAAGTCCAATAAGGCTTGATACAGGCTCAACTGTTACATGCACACACATACACATGCACACACGCACACACACTCACACAGTCAATTCTCTCTCATTTTCTTTCCTTTTGGTCCAAGGTCTACTATAACTTGATTTGTCATCCTGAATATCGATGGTTGATTATGTCTTGTCTGTTCAGTACTCAGTCCTTCAGCTCTTTTGTGTGTGGTATTTGTTTGTTTGTTTTGAGACACAATTTCCACTTTGTCACCCAGGCTGGAGCTCAGTGGAGTGATTATAGTCACTGAAACCTCAAACTCCTAGATGCAAGCAATCCTTCCACCTCAGCCTCTCAAATAGCTGAGACTACAGATGTGTGCCACCATGCCTGGCTAAGTTTTTTAAATTATTTTGTCGAGATGGGGTCTTGTTATGTCCCAGGCTGGTTTTAAATTCCCGGCCTAGGGTGGATTGCTTGAGGACAGGGGTTGGAGACCAGCCTGGCCAACACAGCAAAACCCCATCTCTACTAAAAATACAAAAAGTAGCTGGGTATCATGGCACACACCTGTAATCTCTGCTACTTGGGAGGTCAAGGCAGGAGAATAGCTTGAACCCATGAGATAGAGGTTGCAGTAAGCCAAGATCACACGATAAGAGAGTGTGATGCTCCATCTCAGAAAACAAAACAGGACCGGGCGCAGTGGCTCACGCCTATAATCCCAGCACTTTGGGAGGCCGAGGTAGGTGGATCACGAGGTCAAGAGATCGAGACCATCCTGGTCAACGAGGTGAAACCCCGTCTCTACTAAAAATACAAAAATTAGCTGGGCATGGTGGTGCATGCCTGTAGTCCCAGCTACTTGGGAGGCTGAGGCAGGAGAATTGCTTGAACCCAGAAGGCAGAGGTTGCAGTGAGCCGAGATCGTGCCATTGCACTCCAGTCTGGGAAACAACAGTGAAACTCTGTCTCAAAAAAAAAAAAAAAAACAAAAAATTCCCGGCCCCAAATGATCCTCCTGCCTCAGCCTGCCAAAGCACTGGGGTTACAGGTGTGAACCACCATACCTGGCCAGTCCTTCAGCATTTTAGGATGACCAGAAGAAGCAGAAGCAAGCTGGCAGCAAACTCAACTTTGTTACATTGTCTTGTTTTACTGGTAAACAATCTATATCTTTAGTCCTCATCTTTCTAAACAAAGGCTGTTGGGAGGACCATTCAGGACCAGCTCTTTTAGTGAAATCTGCACTCTGCTAAATAACTGGGAATAAGTGTATTAGAGTATGGTGTTCTCTATCAGAATAGTTCAAAACACAGTGTATCTGGCAAGCAAATATCCTATTCTATGCTATGGGATTGTGGCTGATGCCTAGTTTCATTATAAATGAAGTGTGCATCTTAATTTTTTATTCATTTGTATGCAAATGACTTTTGCATACATTGCATACATTAGGTGGACTTCACAGAGAGGAATTATATAAATTGGCTTCTCTATCATTTTTGCTGGAAGCTTACTCTAGTCTGCAATGCTATCTAACAAATTACTCTTTATTTCACTTTTACTGAATTTTTATTAAATGTCCCCAACTAGACTAGAAGCTTGCTGAGCACAGGGATTTTGTCATTTTCCTAGCTATCTTAAGTACAGGTTAAGCCTTCAGTACTGTCCCTGTTGAGTCAGGATAGGTCAGGGAGAGTTGTTATCAGTTGTGTTCTATTTACTACTTCTATTACAGGCTTAATAACAAAAGAAAAATTGTGTTTGAGAGGCAACAATAACTAAGTGAATGGTTTGCTCTGTTTCTCCTGGAGTAGGACTTCACAGCATCAAATGAAGCCTTTGCATTTTTCCTTAAGACCAAAGATTCAATCATCCTTAATATCTAAAACTATTAGTTATCCTTTATTCAGTTCCAAATTGCCTTTATAATAATCATTTGACAATTACCTTGGTGATCTCATGTTCATGTCCTTTGAACCTTTTCACCACATTTCCAGTTTTCCAATTATAGGCCACAACTGTCTGAAGAGAGTCAAGATTTTAGTTTCATTACTCAATTCTTGTTAAACTGAAACTAGCTTCCACTTCATTCCCCAGCTTACTTTCTCTCTTCTCACTCCCTCTCTGTTCAGGAACTCGCTTGAAGCATTAGGCCTTTACTGTTGTGTCTGCCCCTCCTCACATGCCCCTCCTTTTGAGTTTCTTTTCTTTCCTCCTGGTTGTTCTCTGTCTCTCCCTCAGATACTGGACCACTGCTGTAAACTTACTGATGGGTTTGGGCAACATTCCCCAAGAACTGATTCCAATGGAGGTTCTGGTTGTAGATGCTGATGGAGAATTCCACATAGGGTTAGATTTGTTTTCTCTATTGTACTGTATTTTTTTGTTGTGGTGTTTTTTTTAAAAAAATTACCATTTTAGGCTTGGCGTGGTGCCTCATCCCTGTAATCCCAGCATTTTGGGAGGCCAAGGTGGACGGATCACCTGAGCTTGGGAGTTCAAGACCAGCCTGAGCCTCTACCTCCCAGGTTCAAGCAATTCTTGTGTCTTAGCCTCCCGAGTAGCTGAAATTATAGGCATGTGCCACCATGCCTGGCTAATTTCTATATTTTTAGTAGAGATGGGGTTTTGCCACATTGGCCAGGCTAGTCTTTAACTCCTGTTCTCAAGTGATCCACTTGCCTTGGCCTCCCAAAGTGCGGGGATTACAGGTGTGAGACACCGTCCCGGCCCATTATTAGTATTATTAACTACAAAAAGAATTAGCAGTCGTGCTACCAGTATCCCATCTGTGAGTGCTATGATAGATCCAAATGCGAAAGAGAAATGTGAGAATGGGAGGCAGGAGGATAAAACCATAGGGGGAATCACGATGCTTATCAGTGTAGAGAGCATAAAAGAAGAGATTAGAAAGTTCCTTTTGCTGACAATTAACTCCTCTGTCTCCACATAGGTGTAATATGGGATTAGTGGGAAGTATAATCTTTGCCATTTATAGAAAGCATGTGGGTGGCCAGGCATAGCGTTAAGGATCTCGCCTCCATTCTTTGATTTAATCTTTACAGCCACCTATGAGGTAGCATTATCATTCCCACTTGACAGATAAGACTGAAGCTCAAAAAATGTAAAGACTTGTCCAAACTAATGGGAAGCGGCCAAGCAGGGATTTAAATCCAGTCTTTCTAACTCTAAAGCACATACTTTTACACTCATCAACCCTGCTCCAAGAAATTCAATACTTCCTTTCAAAATATCTTCATTTCCCTGCAATAAAGTTCGTTTCCCGGGAAGCACGGCAAATCCCACCTTATCTTTCCCTCCAGAGACACAAAGGTCTGAGTTCAAAGCAGCAACGACAAAGACGGTATCCATGTGAGCTGGGCTATACTCCTGAAAAGCTTTAGTTTGAATTCTCTCTTCTATAATTTCATCAGGCCTGCTAAAAAGAGTATGGAAAATGAGGGACCCAATGGCATGGGAGTGGGTGGGGGTGGGGTGAGGTGGGGTGGGGAGAAGAATGTGGGTTAAGAAGGCAATTCAGGCCAGACTAAGGAGAAATATTTAAAAAGGAGAAGAGAAGGGAGACTCACTGACATGGTCAGCAATGGTATTATTTACTCTGAAAATGTGCAGAATGACTGAAGGGTTGGAATCCGATAAAGGGGAATCCTGAAGCCAAGAAGCCAGGAAACTTTCTTTGCTCACACTAGTGATTAATCTTAAAGATTTAGGGCCCTTCTGTGTATGGGTACAGACACTAGCTAATACTGTTTTTTTCTTTTGAGACAGAGTCTCTGTTTCCCAGGCTGGAGTGCAGTGGCGCACATGGCTCACTGCAGCCTCGACTTCCTGGGCTCAAGCAATTCTCCCACCTCAGTCTCCCAAGTAGCTGGGACTATAGGCTTAAGCCATTATGCCCAGCTAACTTTTGTATTGTTTGTGGAGTTGCCAAGGGTTTTGCTGTGTTGCCAAGGCTGGTCTCCAACTACTGTGCTCAAGCAATCTGTCCACATCGGGCTCCCAAAGTGCTGGGATTACAGGCGTGAGACAGCACACCCGGCTCTGGCTGTTTCTTATCCAAAAGAAAACACACTAAACTATTCAGGGAAGGTCATCAACATTTGCCCTGGGCCTTCTCTTTCTTTAGCGGGGAGTTTTAATGAGACATGATAAAACCTGGGATCCCAGGGGAGGATTGCTGTACCTGTATTTATAAGTGCTGTGTTTGAGTTTGCTTTGCAGTTTCCCCATCACAGAACAAAACCTACACGAAACCTTCTGCAGAGGAGCTGGTTTCAGTTGGCACCTGAGTTGCAGCATCCCTTGTGGCTGCTGGAAGTTGTGTTCCCTGTTTAATAAAAGGAAGAATACATACTGTTAATTTTGTTAGGTACAATAATGGTAGTATGATGTTAAAAATAAATTCTTTTTTTAGACGAATTAATTGTATGCTTTTGATTTTCCTCCTCACCCTACTTCACCCTTATGGCCCTAAGGTTGCAGATACACAAAAACAAAACTGATTTTAAAAAAGACTAAGAAGTCCTTTAATAAGTTAAACACAGAACTGCCATATGGTCCAGCACTTCTACTCCTGGGTTTACAGCCAAAAGCACTGAAACAGATGTTCAAACAAAAAGTTGTGCACAAATGTTCACAGCAGCACTGTTCACAGTGGCCAAAAAGTGAAAACAACTCAAATATTCAGCAGATGAGTGAATAAACATCATGTGGTCAATCCACACAATGGAATATTACTCTTCTATTAAAAGGAATGAAGTACTTGTACATACTACAACATGGGTGAATCTTGAGAATATCATGCTAAGCAAGAGAAGCCAGACACAAAAGTCTACATATTTTATATTCTATGTATATGAAATATCCATAGTTGGCAAACCTATAGAGACAAAAAGCAGATTAGCAGTTGCCAAGAGCTGGGATAAGGAAGACTTTGGAGAGTGACTGCTTAATAGATACAGATAGAATGCAATGCAGAATATCTTAATAGGCCAGATACAGTTTAGATATGTGTCCCCTCCAAATCTCATGTTGAAATTGGATCCCCCACTGTGGAAGGCATGGCTTAGTTGGAGGTGTTTTGGTCATGTGGGCAGATCCCTCATGAATGACTTGGTGACATCCCTCCGGTAATTAGTGAGTTCTCACTCTTATTACTTTCCAAAAGAACTAATTGTTTTAAAAATGCCTGGCACCTCCCCCCTCACCTGGTTCCTTCCTCTCTTGCCATGGGATGCCCGCTCTCCTTTGCCTTCTGCCATGGTGGAAGCTTCCTGAGGCCTCCCCAGAAACAGATGCCCACATCATGCTTTTTCTACAGCCTGCCAAACCGTGAGCCAAATAAATGGCTTTTCTTTGTAAATTACTCGGTCTCAGTTATTGAATTTATTTTATTTTTGAGACAGAGTTTTGTTCTTGTTGCCCAGGCTGGAGTGCAATGGCCCAATCTCGGCTCACTGTAACCTCTGCCTCCCAGGTTTAAGCAGTTCTCCTGCCTCAGCCTCCTGAATAGCTGGGATTACAGGCATGCGCCACCATGCCCAGCTAATTTTTGTAGTTTTAGTAGAGGTGCGGTTTCTTCATGTTGGTCAGGCTGTTCTTGAACTCCCAACCTCAGGTAATCCTTCTACCTCAGCCTCCCAAAGTGTTGGGATTATAGGCATGAGCCACTGGGCCCAGCCTTCTGTTATTTTTTTATAGCAACACAAACAAACAAAAAAGGCAGAATTTCCTTTTGGGGTGATGAAAATGTTCTAGAACTACATAGTGATGATAGTTGCACAGCATTGTCTCCATACACTAAATGTTACTAGTCATAAATTTTATGTTATGTGCACTCTGTCACAATCAAATAAATCCTAAGAGGATGTAATTAAAAATAAAAATAATTTACAGTACTGAAGCTTCTTGAAAAAGAAAAACCTTAGTTATTCCAAAGGTTATAACCTTCCTTGGTTGCTGAATAGTTTTTTTTTTTTAATATTTCACTATGGCACCTCTCTATGTGCCAGAATCATGAAATAGATGTTCTAAGAATGAGATGCTAGAAATAATGGCACTAAATGAGACAATATAGGTAATGACTTAGACTAGCAGTTCTCAAAGTGTGATCCATGGATCATGGGGGATTCCTGAGAGCCTTTCAGGGAGTCTGGGAGGACTTCCCTTTTCCATCTACATCTCTCAGTGAGGCCCTTCTCTCCTTCCTTCCCTTCCTTTCTTTCCTCTTTCTCCTCCTTCTTCTTTCTCCTTCCTTCCTTCCCTCCCTCCCTCCATTTCTCTCTCCCTCTCTTTCTGTCTCCTTTCTTCCTTCCTTTCTTCCTTCCTACCTTCCTTCCTTCCCTCCCTCCCTCCCTCTCTCTCTCCCTCTTTCTGTCTCCTTTCTTCCTTCCTTCCTACCTTCCTTCTTTCCTTCCCTCCCTCCCTCTCTTCCTCTCTCCCTTCCTTCCTTCTTTCTTTCTTTTGAGACAGGATCTCACTCTATCACTCAGGCTGGAGTGCAGTGGTATGATCTCACTATACCCTCGACCTCCCAGGCTTTGGTGATACTCCTACCTCAGCTTCCCAGGGAGCTGGGACTACAGGCTTGCACCATCATGCCCCGCTAATTTTTTTGTGTTTTTGGTAGAGATGGGGTTTCGCCATGGTGCCCAGGCTGGTCTCCAACTCCTGGGATCAAGCAATCCACATGCCTTGGCCTCCCAAAGTGGAGGCCTTCTTTTCTTTTTATACCTCAACATAAACAACATACTGCAACAGAATGTGTTCAGAAGCAGATATCAGAGTCCAGTTGTCTTCTGTTTAAGGCAAACCTTAGAAATTTGTGAAAATATAAAGCAATATCACTTTTTCTAACTAAATATTTTGGTTTTGGAAAGTATATTTATTTTTCATAAAATGATGTTTTATGTTAATATGCAATAGGTTTATTGTTATTTCAAAATTAACATGTAAATGTCTTTAAAATTTCTGAGTTTTAAAAATTAATTCACTTAATTATTTTGTTTATTTTTTTTGAGTTGGAGTTTCACTCTTGTCACCCAGACTAGAATGCAATGGCATGATCTTGACTCACTGCAACCTCTGCCTCCTAGGTTCAAGCAATTCTTCTGTCTCAGCCTCCTGAGTAATTGGGATTACGGGCGTGTATCACTACATCCAGCTAATTCTTTGTGGGGTTTTTTTTTATTTTTTATTTTTAGTAAAGACAGGGTTTCACCATTTTTTGGCAAGGCTAGTCTTGAACTCCTTACCTCAGCTGATCCACCTGCCTCAGCCTCCCAAAGTGCTGGGATTATAGGCGTGAACCACAGCACCCGGCCTCATTTATTTGTTTTTAAATTTAACAAACCCTGCATGTGGCATTCAATCTCAGTTTTAATGTCAAACAATGGTAGCAGAGCAGAATTTGAATCCAATCTACAACCTACAAAAGCAAAACCTCTTTGGGCGTCCTTAATTTTTAAGAGTGAAAAGAAGTTCTGAGGCCAAAATGTTTGAGAGCCAGTGACTTAGAATTTAAATAATGTTAATATTGGATTATATAATATATTAGAATAAAAGGAATAATAAAACATTTTCCAGATTTACTTGTATCATTCCCCTCAACTAATAAGGCTAGAACTGAAAAGAAAGAAAATGAATTATGTATTCAAAGATATTCCTCCACTCATTCAGGAAACGCCTCCAAAGCACCTTATCTGTATAAGTCCTATACCAGTTGCTGGTGAAACAGAAAAAAGGAGAAACCTGAAGATGTCACCAGGATGAACATTTACTGGGACTGAAGGATCCTAACTAGGGACCAGTCTCAATCCCTCCAGGTCACGTGTCCTCTGCAACTGGCTGCAATATCAAAGAGCTGAGGGAAGTATGTGGGGCACTGGGAGTACCCAGTCCCCACTTCTTCTGGGGTTGAGTTTCTTCTAGGAGATGAGTTTCTTATGGGCATGACCAGCCTACTTCTAGGAAGAACTGTCTACAGGAAGACCTGCTTACAGGGGAGAACAGCAGCTAAAATGCACCAACTTCATATTCTCATTCATGCCATTAGCATTGAAAACTAGAGCTTTCCAGAAGGATTTCAGCCTACATTTTGAAAATTTGCTAGAACTGACCTCTTGACAAGAATAGGTAACCAATACAGAAAAGCACAATGCAATGGAAACAGTGTGAGTGGCATCACGAGGCCTAGGCTCTCCCCGAGCCCTGCCTCATGCCACTCTGTGTCCTTGAGCAGCTCCATTCCCCACTCTGGCCTCAGCCTCTCCATCTAGAAAATTAGGACACTAGATGAAATGAGTTTTAGTAGACTATGTGCACAATGAGAGAAGGACTTTCATTATTCATCTTTGTACCCCAAGTGGCTTGCATAGTACTGGACAACAACAATACTTGTGAAGTGGTGAATCTAAGGTCCCTTCTACTTCAAATATTCCAGAATTTTCTATAAGAGACCACAAGATGTGCTGAGAGGCAAAATTCAGGATAGTTTTCAAAAAGCTTGGGATGTGGTATTGTTTATAGATAGATAGAGGGTGCAGGACTTCTTATCTGCCAGCCTAACCTCTTTTTCAACATTGTCATCAAACTAATGACAGATGCCATCCATAGATCTAGGTCACTGGAAATTGCAGGTACTATAAATGGACTGGCTCTGCTCAAAACTGATTGGTATAGTCAGAGAGCCATACTTCTCAAGTAAAGCATATTCATGGGACATTCTAAAGAAAAGACAACTTTTAGAATTACTTACCCCCAAACCAATACAATCTTCTTGGTGAACTGCCCTATTCAATAATTTGTAATGTGTATCCTTTGGAAAATAGTTTAAGCAGCCACTTAATCTCTGTAATTAGTGGAAAGCCACTCAAGTTAATCTCTTCTTTGTCTAAGCATGTTTGCAAGGTAAATAAAGACCTGGTTTATCAAAGAGACAGTTAAGTATAGTTTTTCCTTACAAAGAAATATTTTACAAAATTCCAAGATTATCTCTCTCACATTTTCACAATTCAGGAAAGTATACTATAATGTTAATTATACATCTATTTTAAATATGCAAAATATATGTAAATACACCATTTAATATTTTTATTTTGCTCATAACACAGTACTTCATCAAAAATCTTGAGTTGACTGCTTACTTCAGAGTTTACTGCTTTTTTGAAAAAGGCAATTTCTCCTGTTTTGAATAATTATACTAGAATTCAAGATGGAAGAGCTTTTCAAAATCACCATATATAAACCATTTATTTACTTCAAGATCTGCAGAATAAGGGTAGAAATATTATTTGCTCAAAATTAGAACTAAGACCATTTATTTAAAGATCTGAAGAATTAGAATAGAAATATTATTTGCTCAAAATTATAACTAAGTAAATCTCTTGACTTCTAGTCTAGAATTCCCATTATAAATGTCTACAAAGAATAAACAGTTTTATTCCATTTTAATAACTCAATTTTAAGAATTCAAATAAATTTTAAATACTGATTGACAGTACAACTTATTCTGAGAATTAAAGGCAGCACAGAATAGTCAGAACAACTAAATGCATTAGTGTCTACACTAGACAGAGCTAGTTCTGAATTGTAGCTCTGCTGTGGCCTCAGACAAGTTTTCCAACCTCTCTAAGTCTCACTTGCCTAAGTGTAAAATAGGATAATAACTCTATCATTGACTTCAGTGAAGATAAAAATAGCACTTAAAATGTACCAGGAACTGCTCCATGTGTTTTATATTTATTAACTCAGTTAATCTATTCTACAAGCCTCTAAGATACATATTGTTACTACAGGTTGAGCATCTAATCCAAAAATCTAAAATCCAAAATAAAACTTTTTGAACACTGACATAACATTCAAAGGAAATACTCATTGGAACATTTTGGATTTTTTTTTTTTTAAAGACAGAATCTTGCTCAGTTGCCCAGGCTGGAGTGCAGTGGTGCAACCTTGGCTCACTGTAACCTCCACCTCCTGGATTCAAGCCATTATCTTGCTTCAGCCTCCTAAGTAGCTGCAATTACAGGTATGTGCCACCACACCTGGCTAAGTTTTGTACTTTTAGTAGAGACGAGGTTTCACCATGTTGTTCATGCTGGTCTCGAACTCCTGACCTCAAGTGATCTGTGCACGTAGGCTTCCCAAAGTGCTGGGATCAAAGGCAAGAGCCACCATGCCTGGCCACATTGGAGCATTTTGGATTTCAGGTTTTCAATTAGGGATGCTCAACTCTTATGTATATAATGCAAATATTCTAAAATTTGAAATTTGAAACACTTCTGGTCCCCAGCACTTCAGATAAAGGATACCCATCCTGTATGACCATTTTGCAGATGAGAAAAGTGAGGCACAGAGCTATCAAATAGCTTGCTCAAGTTCATACTGCAAATAAGTGGCAGAGCCAAAAGTTGAATCCAGGCAGTCCAACTTCAGAGGCCCTGTTCTTGACCAGCATATTATACTGCATCTCCATAAAAGCTAGTGCATATAAATCCTTTGGTTCAATCTGGCAAGCTGTTAAAAATAAATTATGGTTACTAACATGATTGCAAGATTAACAGTGATAATACTGGCAACAGTAATTTCACCATTAATACTGTTCATAATGCATGAATATTAAACACATATAGCAAATATACACAGAGAACATATACAAATGGATATATGAATCTAAAGGATATTAAAGTTGAAGCCAATTATGGCTTCTGATCGGAGTGATTAATCCCAATGAGGCTAAGAATTCATTATGTTATATAGCAAGGCAATTAAAAAGTCCCAAAAACAAAGTATATAAATTTGGGTTACATCTACGTTGTTGTAACTTATTACGAGTTGACTAAGAAATAAAAATACTACTAAGTTATCTTCCACTATTTTTATTATGAATATGTAATATACTTGAGAGGAGGTATAATGTCTGGTTCATTTTTCTATCTCTGCTGTGACCTTAGCCTGGGAGAATGAACACAAGGCAAATGAATACCTGTTGAATGAATGAATGGCATAGGAAGATGAAGCGTCGGCTTGGTAGTATGCTTTTTAAGGACCCAACAACATAAGGGTCCTTTAAACCTGCCCAACAACATATCCTTTAGAAAGCAGTCACCCTGTTTCATCCCATACTACAGACCCAGAAAGGCTGGAGAGGACATGGGAAAATCTATAGACTCTCTGATGGCTCTGGATGTCCCTGTTGGTTCTAGTTGGAACCAGGTCTCAGTCTGAATCCCAGCACTTATTTCTATTCCAATCTGCTTTCCAAAGGCCTTGGGATATATCCAGTCATCCCTCTAAACCACCCTAAACATAAAGCAGAGAATTATCTTTTAACTCTCCAGTGCAATATTCCTTGATTTACACCAGTACCTATCCAACTGTTCTATTCCATGAAGGAACTGGGGCTCAGAGGGCTGTGACTTGCTGATGGTCAAGGTCACGGGGACAGAGCTGGGTGGACTGGACCTTATTTCCCTGGTCCCCTGTTCATGCAAATGCTGATATCCTATCTCCCTCCCTCTCCCCAAATCTCCCTCTGCACACTTCCGTCTTGCCTCTGGAAGACCAAAGCATCTTTAGCTGCCAAAACAATGCTCAAAGAAACAAAAGTATGAGTAGAAACACCTGGAAGCTGGCCTGGTTCCACCCTCTAGTGGTACAGATAGGGGAAACTGAGGCCCAGAGAATAAGAGGGTCTTGCCCAGAGTCACATAGGGAGTCAGTTCTGGGCCAGCACTCTTAAGGTTGCCTCGAATTTTGGGGACGACTTGTGTGCAGTTTTCCTTTCTGTCGCTTCAGATCCCAAATGCTCCTCTCTCTGCCCGTTAAGTGAACGACTAAAGCTTTTTTTTTTTTTTTTTTTTTTTTTAAGAGAAGCGGAGTCTCGCTCTGTCCCCCAGGCTGGAATGCAGTGGCACGATCTCGGCTCACTGCAACCTCTGCCTCCCGGCTTCTAGCAATTCTCCTGCCTCAGCCTCCCGAGTAGCTGGTACTACCGGCGCGTGCCATCACGCCCGGCTAATTTTTGTATTTTAGTAGAGACGGGGTTTTACCGTGTTGCCCAAGCTAGTCTCGAACTCCTGAGGTCAGGTAATCCATCCTCCTCGGCCTCCCAAAAAGCTAGGATTACAGGCGTGAGCCACCGCGCCCGGCCTAAAGCTTATTTTGATGTGTAAGTGGAAAGCGGGGAGAGACGTCCCCCAAGATAGGAACCTAGCGCCACCAGCTCAAGGTTGGCCTTCATAACCGCTTTCCACTTCGGCCAAAGGGGGAGGGTTGCCCACTCCCAGTCTGCTGCCGCACCCCTTTCTCCCACCTCAGGCTCAGTACCCACCGAAGGACTGGGTCGGGGGGCTGGAGCTGGGGCGGCGGGAACCCGGAGCTGGGGGGCGTGAGCAGCCTCCGAACCCTACAGCCTCCCGCGTCTCCGCCCCTAGCAACAGGCGCACGTCGCTAGGGCGGGAGTCCGGGCGAAAAGCCTCCGGGCACCCTCGGCAGCAGCGGAACCGCAGTTCCGCTCGCCTAAAGCTGGGACGGAACTGAGCGCCGGGTCCTACTATCTTAGTGTAACAATGAGCTGATGAGATCCAGAGAAGAGGACGTTTGTGCCCAAGACCACGCTGCCAGAGAATCTAAACAGTCCAAGGAAAGCGGGTAATAGCTTTGTAATCGCTATGGAGAAAGCACTTAATAAATGTCACTTTTAAAATTATTAGTCGCTCAGATAGACGTGTTGCCGCATTTCTTTGGAGTTTCCCTGATTCCAACTAGAAATTCCTCCTTCGGACACTCTCCCAGGCCCCGACTTACTCCCATATTCCTTTCATTATTTTTTTCATCGAACCATTACAGCCTAGTACCATTAGCAAGAAGAGACCCCTCAGTATCTTCTTGAGATCCAAATGGGAAGACAGTTATAGAAACTAACAGTTTTTACAGCTGCAGTCGCATTGCTTCCAGACTAGAGTCTATTCATCTCTGTATTCCTCAGTATGGGGCTTGGTATATAGTAGGGGCTTGTTGAATGTTTGTTGAATGAATGAATGAATGAATGGCAGAGATCCTAGCCAATATTTATTTATTTATTTATTATTTATTTTTGAGATGGAGTCTTGCTCTGTCTCCCAGGCTGAAGTGCACTGGTGCGATCTCGACTCACTGAAACCTCCGCCTCTTGGGTTCAAGCGATTCTCCTGCCTCAGCCTCCCAGTAGCTGGGATTACAGGTACACGCCTCCACACCGTGCTAATGGATTTGTATTTTTAGTAGAGATGGGGTTTCACCATGTTGGCCAGGCTGGTCTCAAACTCCTGATCTCAGGTGATCCATCTGCCACAGCCCCCCCAAAGTACTAGGATTACAGGCATGAGCCTCCGTGCCCGGCCCCAACATTTTTTTTGAACCCTAGTAGATGCCTCTGCAGTGCTGATCTCCTAGCAAAAGAGCCTTGAATGAAGATTTGTGGAGTTTCTGAAAGTTGGGTGCCTTTGAAGGGGTGGGAGTGATGAGAAAAGTTTGCCTCCATGGACTGGCTATTGGGTCTGTTTTCCAACCCGGGGAGGGGATCCCCTCCATTGCGTCCCTGAATGGGTATCTGTAGCCCTAGTTGATGCTTGGTCTGTGATGATGCACTCATTACTTTTCAAAGTTAGTGACCTATTGTTGGGAGATTTCCTTCCGGCAGGAGAAAGTATCTACCCCTGTGCTACCTGAAACTCTGATCTTCATTTAGAGCTGAGGGCTCTCATTACAAACTTAGTCCCTTTTCCCCACAACAGCCTGGCAAGCCACAACCAGGATAAACTTACTGCTTTGTCCTGGGACACTGGGCTAGGCTCAGTGCAGCTGCAGAGTTGAGTTACTAGATCTTTGCCCCCCAAGATGATCCTGCTCTGGGGATGTTCTTCCCTCTGAGAGAGATGCTTTAGGCTTAAGACACAAAAGACTTCCAAACTGGTACCTGTAGCTAGTCCTGTACCTGTAGCCTCTCCCTGAGCCACACCTGTATATCCACCTGCCATCCGCCCATCTCCAACCAGCTGTTTAAAAAACACCTCATTCTTGACGTGACTCATACTGGAAACATTATCTTCCCCCCAAACCTGTTCCCCTTCTTTTCCCTCTAAGTGCTGGACACTACTATTCACTAATCACCGAAGCCAAGGACGTAGGAGTCATTTGTAACTTTACCCTCTCTTCCTTGTTCAAGAACAATCCCTGAGACTTCTCAATTCCACCTCCCTGACATTATAAAAATATAAATCTGTTCACTTCTCTCCACCTACCACCTGGATTCAGGCCAACATCAGAGAGTGATGGATTAAAAATGACCACAAATTCTTTGTAGCTTTTCCCATCAAGGTTGGCTTTGAAACTTGTTTTGACTGACAGAATGCAACAGAAGTGACATTGTGGGACTTCTGAGTTTAAGCTTCAAAAGGCCTTGCAGTTTCTGCTCCCATCCTTTTGAAACACTCCCACCATGGGAAGAGGACCAGGCTAGTCTGTTTGAGAGATGTGACCCATCCAGTAGCCAGCACCAAATCCCAGCCATGTGAGTGAAACTATTTTAGACTATCCAGCCCAAGATGAACTGTTGTATGACTGCAACCACGTAAGTAACTATCAGAACAACCCAGCTGAGTTTTTTTTAAGTTGTCATTTTAAGCCACTAAACTTTGGGATGGCTTTTTAGATGCAGTAGATAACTGATATCCAAGATGAATTTCAAATTCCTTCATTCGGTCTAAAAAGCTTGGTATATTTCTTTAGCCTCATCTTCCACCTCTGCCACTCACACTATGTGTTTCAATGGTCTAAACTACTTGCAGCCTCCTGACTTGTGTTAGCTGTCACCTTTGAATCTGTGCACATGGTGTTCCCTCTGCCCAGAGCATTTCCCTTATATCCCCTTTCCCATCTTTGCCTGGCTAGCTATAATCATGCATTGCTAAACAACAGGGATATGTTCTGAGAAATGCATTGCTAAACAACGGGGATACGTTCTGAGAAATGCATTGTTAGGCAATTTCATCGTTGTGTGAGCATCATAGATTTTGCTTACACAAATCTAGATGGTAATGACTACTATACACCTAGGCTTTATGGTGAGCCTGTTGCTCCTAGGCTACAAACCTGTATGGCATGTTACTGTACCAATTATACCGTAATGCTGGAGGCAATTGTAACACAATGATAAGTGTTTTTGTACATCTAAACATTGAAAAGGTACAGTAAAAATAGTGTTATAATCATTTTTTTTTTTTGAGATGGAGTCTCAGTCAGTCACCCAAGCTGGAGTGCAGTGGCACAATCTTTGCTCACTGCAACTTCTGCCTCCCAGGCTCAAGTGATTCTCCTGCCTCAGCCTCCTGAGTAGCCGAAATTACAGGTGTGTGCCACTATACCCAGCTAATTTTTTTGTATTTTAGTAGAAATTGGGTTTCACATTGTTGCCTGGGGTAGTTTCAAACTCCTGAGCTCAGCCAATCCGCTGGCCTTGGCCTCCCAAAGTGTTGGGGTTACAGGCGTGGGCCACCACTCCCGGCCAGTGTCATAATCTTATGGGACCACGAAGTACATGCAGTCCATCATTGATCAAAATGTTATCGTGCAGCATATGACTTTATTTATCCTCAGCTTAGAGGCCACCTCCCTCTCTGCCCCCCAGGTCTTCCTTAACCATTCCTCCCCTTCTCCAGACTGGGTTGACTTACTCTTCTGTGCTTCTAAAGCCCCCACACTTTCCACCACATAGTAGAATTTTTCATTTACTTCTCTCTCTCACTCAACTGCAAGCAACAGAGGCAGTGACTACGTCGCATTTACACTTGTATTGCTGCTGTCTAACCCAGGGTCTGCCACAGCACTGCAATAGAACTTTCTACAATTACGGAAATGTTTTATATCTGCTTTGTCCAATACACTAGCCACTAGCCCTACTAGCTACTGGGCACGAAATGTAGTTAGTGCAACTGAAGAACTCAATTTTAAATGTTATTTATTTTAATTAATTTAAATTTAAATAGCCACATGGGGTTAGTGGCTATGGTATTGAACAGTGTAGAACTAGCATATCGTAGGTGGTCATTTGTAAAGATTAAAAGGGAAAGACAACAAGACGGACAGGACACAAGACAGAATGTTATGGATATAAGGAAATGATTTCATGTCGACCTCTCCTGGCCCCTCACTTCACATTCCCTCAACTTTACACTACCAGTGCCTTTGTCTTAGTCCATTTTGTGCTGCTATAATAGAATCCTACAGACTGGGTAATTTATTATGAACAGACAAATATTTGGCTGATGGTTGGAGACTGGCAAGTCCAAGATCTGGAGTCTGCATCTGGTGAGGGCCTTCTTGCTGCATTATGACATGGTGGAAGATATCACATGGTGAGAGAGCAGGAGCTAGAGAGGGAAAGGGGACAAACTTATCCTTCTATCAGGAACCCACTCCCACAATAACATCATTAATCCATGAATGAAGGCAGAGTCCTCATGACCTAATCACCTCTTACAGCTCCCAGCTATCAGTGTAAATTAGTTCAACCACTGTGGAAGACAGTATGGTGATTCCTCAAGGATCTAGAACTAGAAATATCATTTGACCCAGAGATTCCATTACTGGGTATATACCCAAAGGATTATAAAACGAATTCAACTATAAAGACACATGCACACCTATGTTAATTGCGGCACTGTTTACAATAGCAAAGACTTGGAACCAACCCAAATGCCCATCAATGATAGACTGGATAAAGAAAACGTGGAATATATTCACCATGAAATACTATGCAGCCATGAAAAAGGATGAGTGGCAATGTCTCTCTCATTGCTTGATTTCCTTCCTTCCCTTCCCTCCCTCCCTCTCTCCCTCCCCGCTTCCTCCCTTCCTTCCTTCCTTCCTTCATCCCTTCCTTCCTCCCCACCATCCTTCTTCCCTCCCTCCCCGCGTCCTTCCTTCCTTCCTTCCTTCATCCCTTCCCTTCCTCCCTACCGTCCTTCTTCCCTCCCTTCCTGCCTTCCCCCCCCCCCAAAAAAAAAAAAAAAAAGAAAAAGGATGAGTTCAGGTTCTTTGCAGGGACATGGATGAAGCTGGAAACAATCATTCTCAGCAAACTGACACAAGAACAGAAAACCACACCACATGTTCTCACTCATAAGTGGGTGTTGAACAGTGAGAACAACACATGGACACAGTGAGGGGAACATCACACACACCCCTGTTAGGGGGTGAGGGGCTAGGGGAGGGATAGCAAGGGGGTGGTGGTGGAGATTGGTGAGGACTAATATTAGGAGAAATACCTAATGTAGATGATGGGGGGGTGGAGGCAACAAACCACCATGGCACATGTACACCTATATAACAAACCTGCACGTTCTGCACATGTACCCCAGAACTTAAAATATAATTTTTAAAAA